TCAAAAAAGTAATATCAAATGGCTCTATTAAGAAAATTATAGCATATATTTTTGTTGTTTTTATAACAGCACGACATTTACTCCATCAGACAAACTTAAGGTCATCCAGCAGACTTTTGAAGAGATCTCTCAAAGTGTCCTAGCATCACTCCAGGAAGACTTCTTGTGGTCCATGGATGATTTGTTTCCTGTTTTCTTATATGTGGTGCTACGGGCCAGGTAACCAATCTTTTCTGACTTTATTATTAATGAGTCATTATTTTAACAAGTCTGCTCCTCCTTGCATTTTCTGACCTGATGACAGAAGTATGCTCTTCCACTAGAAAAAAATCTACTTCTATTAATATCAACCCATTCCACTATGGTATTACCTTTTCAGTGAGCTATTCTTTCTTTTCCCATCAAGTAGATTCAGAAGAAGGATGGACATGTAAGCAGAAATAACTCAGCATCTTTTTCTCTTTGGAGCAGGATTAGGAATTTAGGCTCTGAAGTGCATCTCATTGAGGATCTGATGGACCCCTATCTTCAGCATGGGGAGCAGGGCATAATGTTCACCACCTTGAAGGTAAGTGTAGGTATTATTTAATGATAATTTTTTTTTTTTTTTTGAGACAGAGTCTCATTCTGTTGCCCTGGCTGGAGTGCTGTGGAATCAGCCTAGCTCACAGCAACCTCAAATTCCTGGGCTCAAGCAGTCCTTCTGCCTCAGCCTCCTGAGTAATTGGGATTACAGGCATGCATCACCATGCCTGGCTAGTTTTTTCTATATATTTTTAGTTGGCCAATTAATTTCTTTTTATTTTTAGTAGAGACAGAGTCTTGCTCTTGCTCAGGCTGGTTTCAAACTCCTGATCTTGAGCGATCCGCCCGGCTCAGCCTCCTAGAGTGCTAGTATTATAGGCGTGAGCCACTGCAACCGACCTAATAATTTTTTATCTTCAAATCTACCCTTCATTTACTATATTATAAATGTCAATAGCCACTTTCTTTTTTATACAAAAGTTCAATGCAAACCTTTAAATGCCTTTAGAGCACACATTGTTAATACCTTAAAACATAATAATAAAGAAAAGTAGGATAAGGCAGTTATACTTCAAAATACTAAACCAAATTTTTCACTATCCAATCTTCCCCATAAATTGATCATTCAAATTATTATAAATGTATATATTTATATAAATAATTATAACTCTAAAAAGAAACAGAAAGGATTCTTAGTGTCTAAAAATGTATCCCGCAGTACATCTATTTAAGGGAACTAAGGTAGAACATACAAGACAGTACGTAAACAATGAATTTGAATTTTGTTTTCTCTTTCTCTCTTTCTCTGTCTCTTTCTCTCTATCCCCCCCTCCTGTAATTACAAATGAGGTTTCTTCCTTTGGGTGCCCTCAAGGGATTGTTAGAAGTCATTTCTGTTTCCCACCTTGATTTTTCTTGGAATTTGGAAGAATCACTAAAGTTTATTGGAAGAACAGGTAGAAAATGTAAAAGAAAAAGAAATTGCCAAAAGCACTTGTGAAAAAAGGTGAATAGATCCATTCTGCTAGTTAGTAAAATATTATAAAATTACAATAATTAAGATAAAATAATATATTAGTATCACAGGAATAGGCAGATATCTAAATGGAAGGGATAACTCCCATATAGACATTATTTAATAAGTGGTAAAACAAAGTATTGGATAGCTTATTAGCAGTTTTGGAGAGAAGGTGAAATAGCAAATTAGAGATGCTTTGAGGTTTAAATACGGAAATGAAGAGAGAAGGAAAGACAGGTAAATTACAGTGAGAAAAAAACCTACAATTTGATGGCAGGTTTTTTGCTTGGGTTAACTTTTTAAACTTTTCAACTAAAATACCATTAACATTTTGTGTGTATGTGTAAGAGGAGGAAGAGGTGGGAGGAGGGGAGCACATTTCCATTAAATAAACTGAAAAGGGGAGGAAACTGAGAAAAATATTGGGCACAAATGACTTAGATTATTAGTGTCTATGTTATATGAAGAGTATTTCTAAACAGATCACCAAGGAAGAAACTGAATTACGTGTAGAAAAATGATCAACCTCACTGAAAATCATAGTACTGCAGATAAAACAAAGTACCATTTTTGTGCCTGCTAAATTAGCAAAAATGTTTTAAAGTTATACTCAGTGCTAGCTTGGATTAACTTTTTAAACTTTTCAACTAAAATACCATTAACATTTCTTTTTTTTTTTTTTTGTTAAAGGAGAAGGAGGAAGAGGGGGAGGAGGAGGAAGAGCACATTATTATTAATATTGTTATACTCAGTGCTGGTAGGATAATAGCTATCACCCTTTTGTAAAACACTTGTTATTAACATAGATATAGACAACATCAAAAATGTGTATAGAGGCTGTGCATGGTGGCTCACACCTGTAATCCCAGCACTTTGGGAAGCTGAGGCCGGAAGATTGCTTGAGGTCAGGAGTTTGAGGCCAGCCTGGGCAGCATAGCAAGACCTCATCACTACAGAAAATTTAAAAACTAGCCAGGAGCAATGGTGTGCATCTGCTGTCCCAGCTATTTGGGAGGCTGAGGCAGGAGAATTACTTGAGGCCATGAGTTTGGGGAGGCAGTGAGCTATGATTGTGCCACTGTACTCCAGCTTGGGTGACAAAGTGAGACCCTGTCTCAAAAAAAAAAAAAGTTTGTGGAGTTTGACTCAGTAGTTCTACTCCTGGGGATTTATCCTAAGCAATTAAAGAATGGAAAAAATTATATTATCTGGATGTGGTATTCATAGTATGCATAATTCCCAAACCTGGATGCTATCAGAATCACTGAGGGTACTTCTTAAAATGGATCCCTAGAAATTCTGACTCAGTCAGTCTGTAATGATGCCTAATCTTTATATTTATTAAATATACCAGGTGGTTCTGATTACAGTTATTACAATGTACCTTTTAATGATCATTTAGAGCTTCATTGGGCATCTAAATGCCCAATGAATAGTGGCAAATTATGGTATTTCTACTTGATGAAGAATATCATTTGGCTTGTAAAAATATTTTTTGTTTATTTGTTTTAGAGGAAAAATGAACAAAATTTTGTCTATAGTAATTATAACTAAGCAAAAAAAAATAACTATTGGATAGAGGAACTAGAAGGGAACAGGAAAAAGTAAAAGCAACTAAATTGGTTGGGCCATTAACTGAATTTATTAAGGGATTTTCTTTCTTTAACCCCATATGCATTGTTCTGTTTATGTAATTTCTTTAAAAGCAAATTTAAAATTGTTTTGAACTTTTTTCCAGGCATGTTACTACCAGATCCAGCGTGAGAAGCTTAACTAGGCTACATAACAGCTTGAAAACTGGATTACCTACTACAGAGTTACAGCACCATCTGGAGTCTTCCTATAGTGGCAAAATAGAATGGTGTTGAAATTGGAAAGGGCTTTATGTTATTTTGGTTGTTACTTCTGAGCCCTACTAATAAGAGCCCTGAGCCCAGAAAAAAAGACTGTAGAGTTTAAAGGGAGAATTGAAAAGGAGGTAGAAATCAAATTAGACTAGCCCTTGGCCTGTGTTAAGTTCCAAAAATATCATACATCTACTATTTGGAAAAAGAAGAGATCCCTTCCTATAGTAAAGGGTATGTCAGCTACATGAGGATGTAAGAAAATTCCCAGTATAGCTTCTTACATTAAAGAAGTTGATGAATATTTTTGAGTTTCTGGTTTGCCTGAATCATCTGCAGTTAGTTACCCCAGAACCCTTTGCAAGAACCAGATTGTACTTGAAACTATAGTGGGCACACTCTGCCTTCCTAAGTTCCTTCCAATCATGTGTGCATCATGCTTCTTTGCTGAGGGAGGGGAAAGAGGGTCTTTTAAACTGCAGTTTTAACTTTTTCTAAGCTTTTCCATAATGGGAGAGGTTCTATGCAGTGACTGTCACATCCTGCCACCCAACCAAATGGGAGTTTTCTGCCTCCTGATTAAAGTCATAGGAATTTTGGTTTTGGTTTCCTGACTATGCTACAGAGAGTGAATACACTGGAATTCAAACACTGACTCTGAGCTGCTTGGGAGCCTCATTTGTCCATGTGCAAACGCTGTGTTCTGCAGTCTGTGAATGAAAGCCTGAGGAGCTTTTGCATGCAGTCTGTGTTTTGGAACAGGATGAAAGATTGGAAAATATGGAAGCAAAGAACTGCCTCGATCCTCAACCTGGTGTTGTGGTTCTTCCCTATACCTCGCACTGAACTCACAGATGGGAAGAAAGGAAACAAGCTTTGGCTTTTTCCATCTCAAAAGTATTATGGCACCTCAACATTTTAATATTTTGCTTTTTGCTTTTTAAAAAATGTCCTATTTTAAGTTGTTGGTTTACACTGTATCAGTAACACTAGTAGTTGTTTTGAATAATATAGGTGCTCTTCCTCATCTCATCTGCACACCGTGGTGAGCATACAGAGTGAACTGATTTATGTTAAAGGACTCAGCAAATGTTAATTACTTTTGAAAAAGGATCATGGTTTCTGCTCTACTTTATAATCAAGACAAGTGTTTATTAAAATACTGTTTTGGAATGTTGGCTGTAATGTAACAGCAATTTTCATAATAAATGACATTCATCTTTATGAGGTTGTTTTATGATTGTAGCAGAAATGACACAGGGGAGCCTAAAAATTAAAGGACCCAGGTTAAGTATTTCTTTTGTCCACATTGTAGTCCTTGCTTGTTTATATTGGCTTCAAAGGTCCCTCTGGGGTTTTAGAGATCCCTCACTTTAAAATAAACAAACTGATAATTATAGCACCTTTATAATTTGTCAAAGGACAAATTAACTTTCTGATCCTAATAACCCAAGGACAAGGGTCTTAAAAGAAATCTATTATTTCTTTGAATAAAAGGCATATTTTGATAGTTACTAGTTTCTCTTTCAAAATTCTGGTTAGAAATATTAGATATTAATCATCTCACAAGTGTAATGTTTTCTCAAGAGGCCTTTCCATCTTGTTGCTGCTTTCTACCAGAATGTGCCTACCCATTGGTGGAAAGAGACCACAACTTAAAAATTAGTTTATGTTAAACAATTTACATTTCCGTTGGGGGTTGTTTCAACTTTCTGAAAAAACACACAAATAACCACATTTGGCTGGTAAAGACAAATTTACTGAACATCTAACTCCTTGAGAGAGAGACAGAGAGAGAGAGAGACAGGGATAATATATGTAAATGGACAAAGAAAAGCTTTGCTTGAGACAGACGGACCTACTGAGAAATTCAACAACAACAGTAGACCATTTCAGTTCTCAGAAAACAAGTTATAATTCATCCTTTTACTGGAGTCCTAAATGAAACTGTCTAGTTATTTAGATTTTTCATACCATATTTATACCTAATAGGTAGCATATTAAAATTACAAATTTTATAACTCGTTTGGGGAAAAACCCTGAATCTCCAGGCCAGTGTGTAAATAGAAATACCTAGCACTCGCGCAGCAGTTTACAGAGATCTTTCACATGCATCATGAATGCTCACATCGTCCCTGGGAGGTAAGTATTATCACCGTTTCTCCCCATTTTGCAGACAAGGGGTGGCTGTGATTTGCTCACTGCCTGAGCTGGGACTCCAGCCTAGAATTTCTGTACTCTAATTCCAGTGTTTTTTTCCATTATAGCTGCCAGAGGTGTCACTTCATAGCTGGGTTATGCATTGACAGTTCTAAAGGTAAAAGATGAGTTAAAAATGAAAGCTTTGTTAAAATCAAATTCTTTTGGTAAAACATGCTGTGCTTAAAACACAAAGGTGTTACATTCCCAGCTTGCGTTTTTATCTACAATGGAGCTATAAGGAAAGCCACGTGTTTAATTTGGGTTAAAAGGGCTGATAAACCTAGTAATTGCCTTTCGTCTTCATCTTTTTGCCTTATTGTTAGCAGTACCCTTTCTCATGTTTTTTCTGTGACATTACAAATTTTCTTCCTACTGACTACTCCTGCAATATAAAGTTTTCAAATAAAGAAATAGCTCCAATCTGAGATAGAGAATGGGCTGTTTGTTAAGTTCAGAACAGTGGCTTGGTAGGGGACTGACCAGAAGGAACTGTTTTCGATGGGCCTAATTATTATTAATTGAGGAGTCTTCTATTTTCTCACCATAACATGAGAAAATTAATAAGGCTAATAGGTTATTGGCTTACTTCAGGTAGCCCCACAGTTTTTCCTTTCATTAAAAATACTGTCTTCTGTTGTGGGTTGTCATCCTGAAATAATAATAAATACTAGTTTTGTATGAAGGTAGAAAGTGATATAAATTAGGCTTTTCAGTGCAAGCAATACTTAAGAAGATTTGTGTTAGCGAAGGCTTGTGAGTAATTTAGTGGTTAGACTGGGTTAGGCATCTGTGGATTAAATCAAAGAGGATGTGCAGAGATTTTATCTGGAGCAGTGAGGTGACTTTGGCAGCGAACAGCCTACTTGTGTTTTCTACTAAAGTTTTTGTCTGGATAGGAGCAACGTTGCATGTTTATACTCTTGCAGGTAAGAGACCCTACCAAATAATCCTAGGTTACCAGAAGATATTGCTTTTAACTATCTAGCTCATCTGTCAGTTTTTAATAGCTAAAGATATAATTCTGAGTAATCTAATTCAAATGGTTTAGTTTCATTGTAACTCGAATTATATGGAGAATTTTATGATTTCAAAAGAGCAGATTTTGCTTTGGGAAGCCATTTCTTCAGTATAGAATAATGAGTTGTCATGAAGATTGACTAAAATCGGGCATTTGTCCTAGTTCTAATCAACAGCAATTTGACCCACAGGAAGCCAGCCATTTTCATATGGACCATTTCTCATCATTAAGTTTTCAAGTGCTTCTTCAGAGTTTTTAGTAAAAAGCATTATTTCGAAAAGCATAATAGGTATAGGGAATTTTGGCTTTTAATACTCAGTACATTTTAAGAAGCTAATGGAAACACTGATTTTTAAAGTAATGTGACAGATTCCTTAGGAGTCAGTAATGAAGCTTCTACGTCAATGATTAGAATTGGCCATCCTTCCTGTGTTATAGTCCAGAATTGCATGTGGTTGGGTATTTACTTGTAGGCTCAATCAAGAATTCTCATTCTCAAGATAGTAGAAATAGGTAAGTCTTAATTGAAAAGTTTAGTACAGAAGTCATGAAAAGGAAGGCAAAGCAAAGATATCACAGTCTTTTGCCAGGCACTAGCATCTTTCAGGACTAAGGAAACAAAAAAGGAAAATGTTTGATTTTACTACTTGATAACTCTATTGAATTCCTCTTTGAATATTAGATTCCTTATCTGTAAAAGGATGGTGTTTCATTTGATCATGTCTAAGCTCCCCTTCAGCCCCCCTATTTTAAGGTTTGATAGGAAAGGGGGTTAAAGTCAGAATAACCAGTCCGTAGTAAATTTGTCATAGAAACCTGAAGATGACCAGGCAAGCACAACTTGTCAAATTTACCTACCTAAGTTGTAAAGATGGGGGCAGGGGGGACAAGGGCAATATACGTAACCTTAACATTTGTACCCCCATAATATGCTGAAATAAAAAATAAGTAAATAAAAATAAAAAGTTGTGCAGATGAAATTTACTGTTTTTGCCTGTATGGCTAAGAAAATTTTGGTCAAAATGTGCCTTTTTGAGAATATATGAATTAGTTATCCAGGTACCCCTGAAGTTGGCTGTAGATTTATTAGAAGTTATTTTAATAATGAAAGTCACTATAGAAACCAATGCCTGTCTATGAAGCACAGTCTATCTGTAAAGCTCCCTCACAGTAAGTTCATCTCAGAAACCCACAGTTTCTAGTGCCCCCATCTGCTGAATGGGGAGGCCTCGTTCAGCACACAACCATTTGGCCATTAAATATAGAAGAAATTGGTCCACCTTATGATGTGCAAACAACTTGTTTAATCTGCTTGTTTAATCTGTTCTGCTTCACCAAGGACATGTTATTTGTGAGATGCCTGAGGGTATCAGATTTTGAGAGTCACCCAGAGTGTCAGCCTTATCTGTCTGCTCTGACTTCTGGCTGTCTGGCAGGCACTCCCTCTCCCTTCTCACTTCCCTTTCTCTAGGGAGGAAGGTGAATTACATATACAACTGTTCTGCTAAATGATTCAATAGAGGCTCAAAAAGCAGAACACAGGAAAAGGCATGGTTCAACCTGACTCCCTTGGGCTGGGCAGGGAGGTTTGTGGTGAGGCAAAGTAAAAGCATAATGATGTCAAGTTTTAATAGAATCTAGCAAATTGCTTCAGTGTGACTGGAAAACTATGTGTATGGGAAAGGTGTCTGAAATTCTGGCAGCTTTCTGTATTGCTCTTCTTATTGCCTTAGAATTTAGAGACAATCTATAATGACTTTTTTTTTCTTTCAGAAAGCCTTCCTGACTCCACCATAATCTGTCTAGATTCTAGGCCATGGTTTTCAACCCTATCAGATTCCATAACCCAGTCTTTTAACAACTAATTTGAAATATTTCTTTTTTAAAAAAAAATCCTAATTTATTCTTTATTGTCCTACTATAACAAATGTTGTTGATGTCCTACCCATATCTCCTTGGTCCTTACTGTTTTGGTGTGCCCCAGGCCTGCTTCCAACTGCCAGCACCTGCACTTGCTGTCTAACAGTATAAATGTAGCAGGCTGAAAGAGCCAGAAGTAATGCTTTCTTGGCAACATTGGTACATAAATACCCCCACTCCCTTGTCCCTTGTTTCCCCATGGGATTAAGCTCCAGTTGCCCATAGTGGTTACTTGATAACACACCTATTACTAATGGCTTTTTCCCTTTCCCTGCCTCCATGCCCTGATCCCCTACTTGTATTTCCTGGAATCACTTTCCAAATAATTTATTGCCTAGAGTCCTTGATCTGTGTCTGATCCTGAAGGAACCCAAACTAAGACACTTAATTACACATAATTATTTTTTTAAATCCACATAATGCTCTAGTAGTAACAAAAAGGACAAATTAAAGAAATGAAGTTGATAATACAACATTGTGTAATGTAATTCAATATATAAACATGGAATATCACTACACCAAAAGATATAATGAACTAATATGGGCAGGCTGCGAGAAAAATTAGCTACTTCTCCCCGCAAAAAAACCCGGGTGCCTTAGGTAGTAGTTGTCACAGAGGATAAGACATTAATAGGAAATAGAATAAAAGAATACACAGAGATGAAGGTATAGTTTTATAGGTTTATATGAAGAAAAAGCAAGGGTACTCAGGGGTTTCCCCTACATCTCCATCAGTAGAAGAGCCCGAGGTTAGATTCACCTAGGTTTTATAATCACAGATATCAGTTATCGGTTGCCAGGGTAACATATTTACATAATAACAGGTAGTGTGGTTGCTATGGGCAACACATTTACATATCAGGTAGTTCAAGTTCCAGGAGTGACCGATTTGCTTAATAACAGGTAGGGTTTGGATTGGAAAGTTTTTCAAAAGGCTTCTAACAATTTCTAATCTATGTGAACAAACAGTTACAAAATCTTTCAAGGACTAACTTCTAAGAGATAGCTATCAATTAACAAAGGGGTAACAGATATAGTGGCTCTATATTTCTTTTATCTAGTTATTGTGCATTTGAGGCAGACAGGAGAAAGCAGGAAACCCAGCTCTTCATTCTAAATTGCTCATAACCACAGGGGTGCATCTCTGGGCTAGGGTGCTCATTGTTCTGGCTCCTGTCCAATGACACTAGGTATTTACCTATCTTGTCTTTCAAGATCAGGGAAATGTCACAGATCTGAGATAACGAGAAGCCTCATGGAAATTTATGAGCAATTTAGAATGAAGTTATGAGCAATAATATAATATAATATATAATTATAATATAATAATATGCACAATATCTACCAGAGAGCCCTCCCAAGGCAAGGCAGCCCTTGATATGCAAACTAATGAATTCACATGTTCCTTCAGAAAACCTCCTGAAATCAATTCAGTCTTTAATATAGCAATATTGGGTGATACAATAAAATAAAAATCTTATGAGCCACATCTCATTAATTTCTCAATCATCTTTCCTCAACAAACTAACATATGTGTGAACCTGTATAAAGATCTACCAGGGATGTAGCAGCTTTGAATGCAGGTACTGATACAGCCTGATAGGGGTGTGTTATAGTGATTCCCTAAATACCACACGCAGCATTACCATTAATGACATGATTTTCCAAATTGGTGAGTGACTTGGTAGAGTTTAAAGCAAAATAAAGTTATTCCTCAGTTATAGTGGTACCATTCCATCAAATTCATTGTGTATTAAGCCTGTGCAAAAATATTTTGTGTTTATATATAAAGAAAAGTTAGGTTCTAGGTTCAGATGATTATTAATACATATTTTTTTCAGTGACATGAGAGTTCAGTAGGACATTTGAAAGTTATATAGGGCATAAGGCGATTCCTCATTGTGTTGGTAGGACAACTTCTGAGAAACGTCCTTAAAGAGCATCGGACGGACGTGTTTCCCTTGCTCTTGTTTTCTTAATCCCTTCCCCCATCCTGCTGGCTGAAATGTAGAAGTGATGGCTGAAGCTCCAGCAACCATCTTGAAACAGGTAGATGAGAACCATGCCACAACCCAGAGAGCTGGAAGGAACAGTGAGCTGGAAAGTGCCTGTTCCCTGTGATAGCATAGAGCAAGGCTGCCCTACCAGCCCTGGGTGCCTCTGCCTCTGAATTTTCATGTGAGCAAGATATGAACTTCTAATATAAGCTACTATTATTTTGGGTTTCTATTTCTTGAAACTGAACCTACCTAAAGCAATATAGAAAATAAAGATTAAAATAGGCACTTCAAATTAGTTGTTAAAGACTGATATTGAATCTGACAGGGTTAAGAACAACTACCTAGAATCTAGATAGCTTATGGGGTTCAGGCAGGAAAATTATCTAGAAAAAAAGATTGTTTTTACGTTGTCTCTAAATTCTCAGAGAATGTTTCACTAGTAACCCATAACTCTCGGCAATTGTGATCAGCTTGTTCTTCTAATGAAGAACTCTAAGGTGCAATGAGAGGGAACGAGTCACCTGAGTAGGATCAGGCTAGGGAAGACTCTTCTGAGCTCTTTTGGGTAAAATCAACTGGGCAAAGAGGTGGAAGATAGATAAATATAACATTATTTGTCTCTTGTTAAAAATCGAGGGGGTTGGGGGAACATTTTATGAAATGGTATTTATAGTTGTCTCTTTCACACAGCTGGTGATGGCTAATGTAGAGAGTAAGCACCACAGGGAAGACTGTGTTCATTTGATGAGTATCTCAGCATGGAGCACAGAGCCTGGCTTGCTCAATAATTGCTGTTGAAAATATGTGCAGGGAACTGTGTGGCCATTGTAACTGAGTGAGTTATGTGCTGTTTATTGATCTGTTTCCTAGTCCTGAATTCCTTTTGGAAACTTGGGTAGGGACAATGATACAGTCAGACAAAGGAGCAGATCCTCCAGACAAGGACATGAAGCTTTCTATGACCACCAATCCAGAGAATGGTATGTATTGCCAGGGTTCTTTTTTTTTTTTTTTTTACCAGAAATACTTTATAATATTACTCTAAATATGCAAGCAAATGAATAGGAAGAAATTCTAATAGACTTACTGTGATCCCTGCAAGGAACTTGTACACTTTTGATTGCACTACAAGTAATAAGTTCAAGAACAAATTTCAAGACAAGAAGGAAAGAAATTGACACAGTGGATTCAGAACAATTTTTTCCCCTACCCCACAAGGTTTTATGTAAAATTAGAACTACTTCTTTGTTGTTTTTTTTTTTTTTGAGACAGTGTCTCGCTTTGTTGCCCAGGCTAGAGTGAGTGCCGTGGCGTCAGCCTAGCTCACAGCAACCTCAATCTCCTGGGCTCAAGCAATCCTCCTGCCTCAGCCTCCTGGGACTACAGGCATGTGCCACCATGCCCAGCTAATTTTTTCTATATATATTAGTTGGCCAATTAATTTCTTTCTACTTATAGTAGAGACTCTTGCTCAGGCTGGTTTCGAACTCCTGACCTTGAGCAATCCACCTGCCTCGGCCTCCCAGAGTGCTAGGATTACAGGCGTGAGCCACCATGCCCGGCCTAAATTAGAACTTCTTAACTTGTTCACATTCAAAGTATCACTATAGTACTATCAAAAACTGCAAAACATTCACTAAAATTTGTTTCATCTCTCAAATCAAGAGAATACTGAGATTTGTATTAAAAACCTATTGCGAGTTAGAGTTTTTCAGTGGCACTTTCAAAAAGAATTCTTAGAAAATGTTAATAAAAATGACTCTATGTTTGAGCTAGAGAAAAGATCCAGACAACGACTAGATAATTTGGAGATAAACCACAGGCTGGTAAGATGGTGAAAGCAATCATGTTACTCTCATATCTTACATCTGTATTTTATGATCTATTATCTGATATTAACAACCCTACAAGAAAGCTAGCACATTCTTATTTTGCCACAAGGGAACTGGTTTCAGATAGTTACATGATGTTCTGAAGTTCACATAGTAAGTGATGGAACAGGACTTGAAGCCAGATCTTTTGGCTGTAAATCCAATGTTATTTTCATTTCTCATAAGACCCTATGGCATGCCCCAGCTGTCTGAATTGGCTTTCGGATTTACAGCAGCCTTCCTTTCCACCCTCAATTGCCACCTTCTTTCTGCTCTCTCCCTTTCTTAGGCCTCTCCCAAATCCTGAGGCTTGTGCTGCAAGAGTTGAGTCTGTTCTACAGCCGAGATGTGAATGGAGTCTGTCTCTTATATGACCTCCTTCATTCCCCATGGCTACGGGCTCTGCTAAAGGTGAGCGCTCCATTGCTTGGAAGTTTTTGCTTATTGCAGGGGGCAGAAAACTACTGTCTTAGTCCATTCAGTCTACTATTATATAAAATGCCCAGTTTATAAACAACAGAAATATATTCATCACAGTTCTGGAGGCTGGGAAGTCCAAGATCAAGTTGCCAGCAGATTCAGTGTCTGGGTTCCCTCTCTGGTTCTTAGAAGGTACCTTCGTGCTGTGTCTTCACATAGTGGAAAGGGCTAGCTAGCTGCTGGAGTCTCTTTCATAAGGACACTAAATCCATTCATGAGGACATAGCCCTCATGACATAATTACCTTCCTAAGGCCCCACCTCCTACTAGCATCACCTTGGGGGGTGAGGAGTTTAACATATGAATTTTGGGAGTACACACACCTTCAGACCATAGCAACTACTTACCCAATGGCGTCATTTGTCAATTGGCAGGAAATTTCAACTCAGAAAAAAAGTTTTTAGAAGGCAATTGTCAGAGAAGAGCTACACAGACTTCGAAGCTTATGAAAGAATTAACTTCAATGGGGAAAAAAATGGTAGCTCCTTTCTTTTCTCCCCCCAACTCTTCTTACAGAGACCCCCTAGGATCACAAACAGCCACCACCCTGGCCATCGGCAGCACCTTAACAGCTGGCTACAACTCTTTGTCCTTGAGGCCAGCTCTGGACACATAACAATGCTTCAAAAATTATTCCTATTTGTTTGTTAAAATCAGAAAGTGAGATATCTATAGTTCTATTTAGGAACATTAAAATTTTCTTATTCTGAAGTTTCTTTTCAATTTGGCTAAAATTTTATGCACTCTGTAATAACATCTATGAGACAGTAGATAATAAATACTAATACTATAATTTTGTTCTGAATAAATATTATTAAGAAAGATCTTTTTGAAGTTATTTTTTGGGGTATAGGTGTTTTCTTCACTTAAATGTGAAATGTGGTCAGTCTTAAGACGCATGTGAACGTTATGTTCTTTTTTTTTTTTTTTTTTGAGACAGAGTCTTACTCTGTTGCCTGGGCTAGGGTGCCATGGCGTCAGCCTAGTTCACAGCAACCTCAAACTCATGGGCTCAAGCAATCCTCCTGCCTCAGATTCCTGAATAGCTGGGACTACAGGCATGCGTCACCATGCCCAGCTAATTTTTTATATTTTTTTAGTTGGCCAATTAATTTCTTTCTATTTTTAGTAGAGACTGGGTCTCTTGCTGAGGCTTGTCTCGAACTCCTGAGCTCCAATGATCCGCCCATTTTGGCCTCCCAGAGTGCTGGGATTACAGGCATGAGCCACCACACCCAGCCTGAACATTATATTCTTTATTCCATCCAAGTTGCTGCCAAAAAAAGAAAAAGAAAAAAATTGTATCCTTTAAAATAAAAGTGGCAGCATCTTTAGCATGAACAAAGTACTCCTTATACCACCTGTTTTAAAACATCAGATTTCTATTAAAGGCATTTTCCCCCTGGGATTAGCTAAGACAGTTTTAATTTCATCGTGGGTATTGCCCTTGATCACCACTGATAGGCTGTTGGTAGTTTGAGCTCCCTGCATCATTCAATCAGCTTTCATCCCTTCCAGGTAAACTTGAGCGCTGGCCCTGAGGTAGAGCAGGAAGCAATGTCTTCACAGATCTGGGTGGAAAAGGCTGGGCTGAGCTGGCTCCTTGGGTCTTATTTCTGTTAGAGAAACTGTTTCCTGAAATAAGATTAAGGGTTATCCTGCATCACCAGGCAGGCTTTGGTGTAGTCAGCCCAACCCTAGACCATGATATGGAAAAAAATTCCTAAGGGTCAGCAGAGACAAAGTTGGAACTTTTATAAATGAATTTGTGCCGGAGAATCAAAAGAGGAATGGGAAACAAACAGCCCCAGGGAGCAGAGCCGAGTACAGAGAAGCATATATAGAGTGCCCAGCCTTGTATTCAGAAGCTTCATGGGACGCAGAGCCACTCAGCTCATGCTCTCTGCAGTTGCCCAGCACAGGACTCTGATCCCAAAGAGCCCCTGCCTTGAGAAGACCCTTTGTGCGTCGTCTACACATCCCTATTGGTCTCAGCCCTGGAAACCCTACCCTCCCTGAGTCTAGCAAAAGTAAAAGTTCGCATTTCTTTTTATCAGTGAAATTGCTTAGGGAAAATCAATTTCCCAGTGGCAGCCAATGATTAACCCTTTGAAGTACTGGAGCCACCAAGCTCAAGTTCATTTCTCTTTGGCAGCTAGAGATGCACGTTATTAAAGACCAGCACACATCATGCTATTCAGCTCTTGGTATGGTTGCACAGGCTGTTTCATCTCTAGAAGAGCCTTAAATCCAAAATGTTCACAGTCATGTTACCAATATCCATTCTCCTGCCCTCGCCCTTCTGCAGGTGTATGACTGCCTCCAGGAATTTAAAGAAAAGAAGCTAGTTCCTGCCACACCCCATGCACAGGTGTTATCCTGTGAGGTAAGGAGACTTTACCCATGGGATAGCAGAGCTCTGATGTGATGCCGTTTTACTTGTAGTGCTAGTTTGAATGAATTAAAGGATCTCATGCAAAGTTTGATTGAGGATTATGCATCTAATAAGTGTTTTTAATTGAACTTTAAAGAAGAAAATTGGCCGTCTATTCCTCAAATTAAAACAAAAATCCCCACATTTTTAGCATGTGTCCATCTCTTTTTCCTAAACCTTGGACTCAATTTACCCTACATAAATAGGGCGATGTTATAGAAACTATTCTCAAATTTCTATCTCCAGCCTGAACCCTTTTCCTGAATTCCATTCTCAAATATCCAACTGCCTCCTCCCCATCTTATGTGGATGTTGAATGGGTTCATCAAATTAACATGTCCCAAACTGAGTGCGTGGTCTTCCCCACTGCCCACCCACCCCCACCCCACTCTTCTTGCAGCCTTTTCTATTCAGGAATGGCACCTCTGTTCTTGCAGTGCTCAAGCCAGAAGGGGTGGGGTCACCTGTGATTCTCTCTTTTTCTCATACCTCACACCCAATGTGATGGCAAATCCTGTCAGCTCTACTTTCAAAATACGTCCAGAATCTCATGCCCCTGTTCCACCTACGGTGAGCCATCATTGTCTCTTACACTGGTAATTACACTATAGCCTTCTGCCTGGTCTCCTGCTTCTACTCTTGCAGTCAACTTGCATCCCCTCCTAGCCACCTTCCCTGGTTTATTTTCTTCTTTACTCTTCTCACCACCAAACAAAACTATTTATTTTTTATTTATTGTTTGTATCTCCTCACTAGAATGTAAACTCCATTGTATATGGAAGAGAATAGGGAATTTGGCTGCCTGATCACCGCTGTTTTTACATCACCTAAAACAGTGCCCAGCACATAGTAGGTGTTCAATAAACATTTGCTGGATGAATGAATAAATGGAATCCATTTTACCATGTTAAAAGAAATAGAAAAAAAATAAAAGAAAGAAAGAAAAAATTATATCCTGAACTCCAGTAATCAACAACTCAAATTGTTCTCAGTTGTCCACAGGAAAACACACACAGGATATTTTATTCAGTTGTAATGCTTGTGAATGGAGGTAAAGCTTTCTAAACTGTTTATTTTCATCTGGCTGTATGATGACTAATGATGCTTAGCTGCTAAAGATTCAAGGGTCTGATTAAAGTCTTGAGAGATCTTCTGTCCTCTGAAAGTAGGTCTACCTAAGCCACAGTAGAGTGATCAGAATTTATTCTGGTCAGTAATTTTTTATTGCAATAAACATTAAAATTGCTAATCAAATAATACACCCCGAAATAAAAATTACTATTCCTATTTCCTATTTAAAGAATGGAGCATCCCATAGGATTAAGCTACCTGAGTTTCCCAGGTATTGATACTTACCTAGAGAAATTCAGATAGCTTAATGAAGCTGTAAGGCACTGATATTAGCAAACACCTACTTTAGAGCCACTAGAGCAGGCATCCTCAAATTACGGCCCGCGGGCCACATGCGGGTGTTTTTGCCCGTTCATTTTTTTACTTCAAAATAAGATATGTACAGGGTGCATAGGAATTTGTTCGTAGTTTTTTTTAAACTAAAGTCCGGCCTTGTTTGAGGGACAGTGAACTGGCCCCCTGTTTAAAAAGTTTGAGGACCCCTGCACTAGAGGGAAAGTGCCTTGGTGCATATTAATTAGTTCTTCTTCCAAGGCTATGTGCCAGGACTAGGGAATTGGGGTTTAGATGTATCCCAAATCTTGGATTTTACTTGCTATAATAAAGTTTTTTGTTTGTTTGTTTGTTTTTGAGACTCTCTGTTGCCCTGGCTAGAGTGCTGTGGCATCAGGGTAACTCACAGCAACCTCAAACTCCTGGGCTCAAGTGATCCTCCTGCCTCAGCCTCCTGAGTAGCTGAGACCACAGGCATGTGCCACCATGCCCGGCTAATTTTTTCTCCATATTTTTAGTTGGTCAATTAATTTCCTTCTATTTTCAGTAAAGATGGGGTCTTACTGTTGCTCAGGCTGGTTTTGAACTCCTGACCTTGAGCGATCCGCCCATCTAGGCCTCCCAGAGTGCTAGGATTATAGGCGTGAGCCACTGCGCCGGGCCAATAAAGTTTAATGAATAAGGAAGGATGATAGGCCTAGACTTTTAAAGATGAAAAGGAAGTCTTTAGGCTGGGCAGGTGCGGTGGCTCATGCCTGTAATCCTAGCACTCTGGGAGGCCGATGCTGGCAGATTGTTCGAGGTCAGGTGTTCGAAATCAGTCTGAGCAAGAGTGAGACCCCGTCTCTACTATAAATAGAAAGAAATTAATTGGCCAACTAAAATATATATATAAAAAATTAGCCGGGCATGGTGGCGCATGCCTGTAGTCCCAGCTACTCAGGAGGCTGAAGCAGTAGGATGGATTGAGCCCAGGAGATTGAGGTTGCTGTGAGCTAGGCTGACATCACAGCAGTCAGCCTAGCCTGGGCAACAAAGCGAGACTGTGTTTCAAAAAAACAAAACAGAAAAACAAAAAGAAGTTTTCAATAACAGCTTTTTAAAGGTCGATATTATGTTAGTCATTATATATGCTATTCAGCCTGGGCAAGGTTAACTTTGAAAAAAAATTTTTTTTTTAATTTTGTACTGTATTCTTTTCCATGAATCAGGTAATGGAGCTATTGCGTGAAACCTCTAATTCCCCTGAGATCCAAGAGCTGAGACAAACCCTCCAGGCTCCACACTTTAAGGCAAGTGTTTGCTAAAATAGAAAAGATATGCCCACCTGGCACATAGACAAAGATGGGAAGAAGAAATAAATGTGATGAAAAATGTGCTCTCTGAATAGATGTTCTATTATTGTACATGGGTGATCAACAGACTGTACTTAAATTTGTGGGACTCAGTTGTGACTTGGTTAGTGTTGTCTGTCATGGAGCAAAGCCTGCCATGTTTATGAAGAGACATCTAGAACTTTCCATGACATCCTGTTTCCCCCACAAAGCCATTGTCGTCTGAAATTCTGGGGGAATAAACAGGGAAGCTTCTATCTATAGACAAATAACCTCCATACTTCCTTTCCAACTTGTGAATATTTTAAGTTTTAGATCAAGTGTATGAAGGTATTTAGAATACAGTATAATGATCATTGCTCCTGTGAGGCAATCTAGATGGGTGTGTCCCACGTGTGACATTTGTTCACCTTTTCCTTCCCTGAAGAACATTTGATTGTAGAACAGAAACTTACCTCTAACTACTTACAGATTTTAAGATCAACTTATCAACAAATTAGAACTTTAAGAGAATATCTGGAGCACAGAAATTGGAAGCACAGAAATTTATCTGTCAAGAATTTTACTTTACAAGATAACTATCAGTTGTCAAGTATCCTAATCAACACACACTTCTTAGAGAATTGTCTCTGAGTACCAACTAAATTCCGTCTATGAATCTTGGGTAGGGCCGTAGAACAACAGCTTCTTCACACCATGAAATGAAAAGTCAGCATAGGTGGCTATTTGGAGAAACTCTTTGATCATGCTTTAAACCAGAGAACTACTTTTTCTCATTCTGTTCCACGTGAGCCCTTGGGTGTTCCTGAAAAATTAAACCAGCAAGATGTTTTGGTTACTGCCCCTCATTCTGCCTTAATTAGAGAAAATATTATGAAAGTTGTTTTGTAGTTCAAACTCCGTAGGAGCCCCACAGATTACATGGGCTTCCAGGATATAAGCACATCACAGAATAATACATTTTAACAGAAATGAAAGTATATTATGCATTGCTTGACCTCTCTGTGCTTTATTCCTTATCTGTAAATTGGGGATAATAAATGTACCTGCTTCATAGAATTATTGCAAAGGTTGAATTAATCCACGTAAAGTGCTTAGAATTGTGCCTGGCATATACATGTTGGTATTTGTTGTTGTGTGTCTGACAAAGCCTTGTGTCACCATCTTCTAGATGGGTGTGTGTCCCACGTGTGACATTTGTTCACCTTTTCCTTCACTGTGCCCAGGCCTTGCTCAGTGCTCATGACACTGTAGCTCAGAAGGATTTTGAACCCCTTCTCCCTCCACTGCCGGACAATATCCCTGAGAGTGAGGAGGCAATGAGGATTGTTTGTTTGGTGAAAAACCACCAGCCCCTGGTAAGAAAATCATTTTATCTTTTCATTTGGAATTATACCAGCATTAATTGTAAATTAAGTTATATCTAGCAGTTACTTGGCCAGTAGTCTTGCCTGCAATCATAGACATGAGAGGACTTGAAAATATCTGTGGAAAAATAAAATTAAAAGATAAAAATAAAAAATAGAAACTTTATTTCTCATTATAAACTCCATCAAGTTCAAGATAATGTTGTAAGCTATGATACCAGCCATTGAGTCCATCCCAAAAGGACTGAGGGCCCTGGAAATTTAACCATGTCAATGCCGTCTTTTTCACATTATTAACTGAGGAAGCATGGGCGCCCTTTAAAGATTTTGTAAGACAGGAAACAAAGAAAATTCAAAAGGAGCCCAATCAGAACTGTAAGGTGGATACCTAATGATTCCCATTGAAACTCACACAAAATTGTTTTTTGTTTGTTTGTTTCTTTGATGAGAGATTTTTTGAAGAGAGCAAGAGCATTGTTGTGGTGGAGATAAACTCTCTGGCGAAGCTTTTCCAGGCATTTTTCTGCTAAAGCTTTGGACAGCTTTCTCAAAACACTCTCATAATAAGCAGATGTTATCGTTCTTCTACCCTCCAGAAAGTCCACACGCAAAATGTCTTGAGTGTCAAAAAAACCGTTGCTGTGACCTTTGCTCTTGACCAACCCACTTTTGCTTTGACTGGATCACTTCCACCCCTTGGTAGCCATGGCTCCTATTGTGCTTTGTCTTCATGATCACACTGGTAAAGCCATGCTTCCTCTCCTGTTAAAATTCTTTAGTGAAGTGCTTCAGGATCATGATCCCACTTGTTTAAAATTTCCATTGGGAGTTCTGCTTTTGTCTGCAGTGGGTCTGGGCACAGTGGTTTTGGCACCTATTAAGTGAAACGTTTGCTCAACTTAAATTTTTCAGTCAGAATTATGTAAGTTGAACCAATTGAGATGTCTATGATGTTGGCGGTTGTTTGTGCTGTTAATTGTTGGTCCTCTTCAATTAGGGCATGAACAAGAGGCATTTTTCCTCAAAAATTGACATGAATGGTCTGCTGCTATTGGCTTCATTTCCAACATTGTCTGGTCCCTTCTTAAAATGAGTTATCCATTTTTAAACTGCTAATTTCTTTGTGAATTTACCTCCATAAACTTTTCATAAAGCATGAACAATTTTACCATTCTTGCACCCAAACTTCACCATAAATTTTGTATTACTTGAATTTTAGCAGAATTCATATTACTATGATAGGGGCCCTTTCCAAACTCATGTCTTATCCTTATTACTGCCTCAAACTAGATCCTATTTGGACATGTCATAACAAGTTACTATGAGTTTATTTTGGTGCAAAAAATTTTTGAAATCCATGCATAGTTTTGTCAGCATATGCATTTTCCATGAACTTTTTGAAGTCCCCTCATACAGTGATGATAATGTATGTAAACTGTATGATTTTTCCTGTGGTTTCAATAATGTTTTCACTAAGGAAAGCTTTCTGCTTAGTGTTTTTCTTTTTTGAAAAGTAAAACAAGATTTATAAGACTTATTTTTGTGAGAAATAAGATGCATATATTTTATGTTATTATTTGGCTTTTTTTTTTTTTTTTTTTTTTTTTGAGACAGAGTCTCGCTTTCTTGCCTAGGCTAGAGTGAGTGCCGTGGCGTCAGCCTAGCTCACAGCAACCTCAGACTCCTGGGCTCAAGCAATCCTCCTGCCTCAGCCTCCCGAGTAGCTGGGACTACAGGCACGAGCCACCATGCCCGGCTGATTTTTATATTATATATATATTAGTTGGCCAATTAAATTCTTTCTATTTTTATGGTAGAGACGGGGTCGTCTCAGGCTGGTTTTGAACTCCTGACCTTGAGCAATCCGCCCGCCTCGGCCTCCCAGAGTGCTAGGATTACAGGCGTGAGCCACCGCGCCCGGCCTGGCTTTTAACATGTGTATATTTCATGCCATTCCAATGCATTTGCCTAAATTTTTCTCCTCTGTTAATGGGAAACTAAGGAAGGCATTAATCTGATTTTCTAAGGATAGTCCTTCTGATTAGGTTTTTTGTTTTGGGGTTTTTTTTTTTGTTTTTTGTGGTTTTTTTTTGTTTTTTGAGACAGAGTCTCTGTTGCCTGGGCTAGAATGCCATGGCATCAGCCTAGCTCACAGCAACCTCAAACTCCTAGGCTCAAGCAATCCTACTGCCTCAGCCTCCCTCTTAGCTGAGACTACAGGCACAAGCCTCCATGCCCAGCTAATTTTTTCTATATATTTTTAGTTGGCCAATTAGTTTCTTTTTATTTTTAGTAGAAATAGGGTCTTGCTCTTGCTCAGGCTGGTTTCGAACTCCTGACCTTGAACAATCTGCTTGCCTCGGCCTCCTAGAGTGCTAGGATTATAGGCATGAGCCACTGTGCCCGGCCCTGATTAGGTTTTAATTGTAGGAGCTTTCTTTTTATTTAGAAGGATCAAATTTTTTTTTTTTTTCTATGTGGTTGGATTTAGACCTTGGGAAACCAAAGCTGAATGGCCTTTCCTTTTGATGGCATAATGTGACTGATAGGCCACAGGGCACTGTGTGGTCCCTCCCTCTCTCCCTGGTTGGTATGAATATCCTCGACTGAAAGACCAGAGCTGCACTGATTGAGAAGCCATTAGAAAAATGGTCATGTTAGGTAAAGGAGGAATCTGATTGTATTCTCTCTCCAGGGAGCCACCATCAAGCGCCATGAGATGACGGGGGACATCCTGGTGGCCAGGGTTATCCATGGTGGGCTGGCTGAGAGGAGCGGTAAGCTGGAGCAGCAGGGGACAGGGCCACCAGAAAAACAGCAAACTCTTGATTGTTTAGTCTTCTTTCCAGAGAAGCCCCTCTTTCCTAACTTAGATCAGGGCTTTGATAAGTTCCACTGCTTGGTTAAAGCAGCATAAAAAGGAACAAATATTCCAGAGAAATCTTACTCCCTCTCCTATTCTAGGCACCACATTAATGCTCTCTTAGTTTACATTCTCATGGAGCCCTCACATGCTAAGTATCATTATGCCCCCTTACAGATGAGGAAACTGAGGCTCAAAGAGATTAAGTAACTAACTTGCTCAAGGTTAACACAGTTTGGGTCAGAATTTAAGTCCAGGTCTGCTTGACTGTATATTCCTAGCTTTTTCTCTCTACTTGGTCTTTCTCCTTTCAAAAAGGCATAGCTCTTCCCCATCTTGAAATATGTTTTGCTCACTCTTTCTACCAGTTAACCACATTTTCATCCTTTCACTGTTGTGCTTCTGAAACAAGTGATTCTCTACCTGCCCCACGTCCCACAGCCCCCGAAACCTGGCACATAGTTTATCCCTAAGCATTCTTATCGTAAATATTAATACCAAGGATGTCCTAGTTGCTAAGTCCATTGACCCCATCTCCTTGGTTATATTTCTATTTCCCTATCACATTCGATGCTGTTGATAGCTTTTTTCCAGTTTTCATCATCCTTGGTTTCTGTTGCATGACATGACCCTGTTTCTTGTCTCATCTCTCCGACAATTCAATTCTTTTACCTAATATTTCTCAAGGCTTAATCTTAAACCCCAAGTTTCTCCACATTTTCCCTCCCTCCCCATTTTATTTTCATTTATCATTTACTTATGACTCTGATATCTTTGTTTTCACTGTCATCTCTTCTTACCAATGTTCTAATATAAAAATATCGCAATCAGTTAACAACAAGTGCTGGTGAAAAGGTGGAAAAATGCAATGCTCATACATTTCTAGTAGTGGTGGGGTAAGTTGGAATAACCAGTTTGCTTTATTATTATTTTATAATACATTAAAAATTTTTAGAGCATACTTGGGTTAGTGAATTTGTTAAATAGCTACAGGGATAGCTACCTCTATTTTTTTCCCTATCTCTTTGTATCCTTTGTTTGTATTCCTGTTTGCCCAGGGTTGCTATATGCCGGAGACAAACTGGTGGAAGTGAATGGAGTCTCAGTTGAGGGACTGGACCCTGAACAAGTGATTCATATTCTGGTAACAGTCTGCTCTGTTTTGCTTTTTTGTTCACGACTTAGTGCAATGCCAAGGCTGAACTGGGACAGTAAAGCCCACGTGTGTGCACTGTAATGTGGCAGGGATTTGGGTTCTCTCCATAGCTTCCTGTCTCCTGGCCCCACAGCTTGTCTGTCACCATGCAGTGTGGTGGCCTTCCTCCACTACCCACCAGAAGTTCTGGCCCCGGCTGGGAAAATTCCCTTTCCAAATCGCCCATTCAGCCTCAGGGAGATTGCCAGGTCCCCCCCGCTCAGGTCCCTTGTTACCTGGGTTGCTCCATTGGAAACTGAGCCCAGAGTGGGCAGAGTGAGACTTTGGAGGAGAGTCTGAACCTGAGCACACCACCCCTTGCTCCCCTAATATAGCTGAAATCTGTTTAGCATCTTCCTCAGGAGCAGCTTTGGGGGGAGAAAAAAGTCATCAGATGGCAGCGTATAGGGAGGGAGACATCCTGGGTGGCTCTGCCACTGTTCCTTGGTGGCTGGAGATGGGGATTTGTGGCCTGATTACACATGCCTTCAGTCTCGCTCAGGTTCCCATTCCTGCCCCTCCAGCCATTCCTTGACTCACAATTCAGTTGTTAATAGCCATAGCAACATGTTCCCCACCTATCTATGCCCGTGCACACCCCACGTGTGAAGCCTGAGGGTGATCACTATACGTATGTAGACCAGACATTCTCAGACTGGGCTCCCGAGGGAACTCTAGATTTTCACAGTGATGGCTTAGAGACTGAGGTGAGGAGTGGTGTATACTGTAAGGAATATAGCAAACACCTAAATATTTTGCAAGCCACTGCTGCAAGATTCTATACAAGGTGTTCTATACAAGGTGCTGCAAAGAGAGCTTGAGGTGCTATAAATCACAGGCATGCCTGCCTCTAACTCAGCCCTTCTGGTGTCAGCTGTCAGGTTGCCAAGACAGTGGGATTGTGAAGTTCCTAAGAGTAAGACTAGGGTCTTGTTAATCTCTAGATCATTAATGCCCGTCAGTGTATATAACAGGGAGATTCTTACCTCTCCCTTAGGCTGGGAGGTTCTTTGTCTCCACCATCAGTTTGAGGACTCTTCATTGCCACTGTTAGTCTGGAAACTTGTGAGTTCTCCAAGAAAACTTGGAAGCTCCTCCTCTTCCCCATCAGACTGGGGTATCTGGTACAGAAGCATGTTCAGTAAATGCTTACTGAGTAAGGGATGAGGAGAAATAGCCAGACAGAGATCTCATGTCTTCCCCAGAGCCAGTGGGAAGAAGACCTTGCTAGGTGGATATTTCTGTTGGCAGGGAGGTGGAGGGTCCCTGGAAGAGGCCACCTCAGTGTGGGTTTTATCAGACCAGTGACCCCAGAACCTCACAACAGGGCAGAAGCAGAAATAAGTTACTTCCAAATTGATATTTCTGGATGGTGACAGGTACCTGTTGAACCCTTATGAAAGTCTCTGTGGGGGACATCACCATTAGACCTGGACACATTCAGTTGTCACCCCATCTCGCAAGCTCCAGTAACCCTTCTAGCAAGCACCCTGCTAGCTCCGTGGTCTTTTATCCATGTACCTTTGTCATTTCCTAGGCCATGTCTCGCGACACAATCATGTTCAAGGTGGTTCCAGTTTCTGACCATCCTGTGAATAGCCAGAAGACGGTAAGAATTTACTAAGCCTTCTATCTTGCATAGAGTAAATCTCCATATAACTAGCAATGACTAATTGTGTTAGAAAACATTACTATCCTCTGCACTGTGTTGAATGTGGGTTCAATACTATGTTGGGTGTTTTTGTAACACTGATGGCCTGAAAGGCAAAATGAGTAAATGAATATGGTAAAAGGAAGTGGGGTACTAAGAAGTGAAGAAATGACATAAAAAATGATAACAATATGAGCAAAAACTTCTCAGAGCTTAGAGATTCTATTCTCAAAGATACTTTTTTCATGATGCTTAGATTCAGTTCAGGAGGAACGTTCTCTTTTTTGGTGAGGGTGGAAAGATAGGAGCAATAGACAGAGGAGTGGGAGGAATGATTTTAACTAGTTATGGCCCATAGCTAGGGTTCTGATGGCACCATTATGCACCTTCTGATGGCGCCATTATGCACCTGCCGTCAGGTGTACGTTCGCGCCATGACTGAGTACTGGCCCCAGGAGGATCCGGCCATTCCCTGCATGGACGCTGGATTGCCTTTCCAGAAGGGGGACATCCTCCAGATTGTGGACCAGAATGATGCCCTCTGGTGGCAGGCCCGGAAAATCTCAGATCTTGCTACCTGTGCTGGGTTAATCCCTTCTAAACAACTTCTAAAAAGGTAAGAAAAGTCATCGCTCTTGGACTCAGAACTGGGCCATCAGGAAATAAAATGTTTTCTCAGGCTTCTGTTACTGTAGTTAAGATGAGATAAAGGAGAGGTGCAAATGGACAAACACACGCAAACTGATTTATAAATCCTCATGTCAAATTGTTGATAGACCCTAAGCATCTTAAATACCAAGGGGACCAGAATAATTATGTCAGCTAGAAAAGAGAGAAAAGTGTTTGGAAAACTAAATCAAACTTAAAAAAGTGCTATGATCTGAAAGTATCTCTCCCCAAATCCATATATTGAAACCTAACCCTCAATGCAATAGTATTAAGAGGTGGGACCTTTATGAAGGCCTCTGTCCTCTTGAATGGGATTGGTGCCCTATAAAAGAGGCCCTAGGGAGCTTGTTTGCCCCTTCTACCTTGTGAGGACACAGCTAGAAGTCACCATCTGTGAAGCTGAGAGTGGCCCTCACAAGGTACTGAATCTGCTGGCACCTTGGTGATCTGAGACTTCGGGGCTCCAGAACTGTGAGCAATACATTTCTGTTGTTTATAAACTATGAACAAAACTCGGGCTATTTTGTCATAGCAGCCCAAACAGACTAAAACAGAAAAAGCATTACTCTTTCTTACTGAATCTTAACCCATCGCTCTTGCCTTAGGCTACTGAGATAACCAAGGGAGTGAGTGAAGCTAGAAAGGGGAAGCAGTCCAAGTCTCAAGCAATGTTAAGAGATCAAGAAGAAGAAACAGAACCAGCAAAAGAGATTGAGAAGGAATGACCAGTGAGGCAGGATGAAAATCAAAGCTGTTGGGGATCCTCATGAACTACAACAGCTTCTAGGGAGAGAACAAAGAACTGACCATTAGATTAACAATATGAAGGTCACTGATGATCTTGATAAAAGCAATCTCAGTGGAGGAGTGAGACCAAAATCCTTATTAGAGTGGGATTTGAAGAAATTGATGACAATGAGCATGGTAAACTCATGGAGAAATTTGGGTACAAAGCAGAGCAGAGCAATGGAGAAGTAGCTAGAGGAAAAGTGGAACAGTGTGAGAGAAATTTTTAGATGAGGTAAATAATGCTAGTGGGAATAATACAGTGAGAGGGAAATTTTTATGATATGAGGAAAGAGAAGAGAATTGCTGTTGTCAATGACCATGAGCAGGTAGAAGGAGATAGAGGGGTTGGCCTGATACAGAATCATAAGCAGTCCACCCCTAGAAGAGTACCAGGGGGAAGGCAGAACATATGGGCACTGTCAAGGGTGGAGCATATGGTGGGAGCCTATGGACGTTCTCTTCCAACTGCTCTTGCTTTCTTAGTGAAATGAGAAACAGTGTCATAAGGTGTGGGAAAGGAGGTGTCGGGAAGGAGGGAGGAGAGAGCTTGAACAATTTCCATGAGAGCTACAGAGCAAATAGATTAGGTAAAGATAGTATGGTCAACATTCAGGGCCTACTTAAGTTAAAGGTCATAAATGTGAAGTGGCGCTGGGGAGCATGTCCAGATTAGAGAGTGTTGGATTTAACAGCAAATCAGGAGAGGGCCAAGGAAGTGATTATGGCAGTTACGCTGTTAAGGAGGGAGATGAAGAAGTGAAGCAGGTGAGCATCAGTGAGAAGGAGGTAGGATAAATGGATGATAGGTCCCTTTGGGGTTGGGAAGAAGAGAGGTGTCGGTGGAGAAAGGGATGCTAGAAATTGAAATTAAGGAGAGGCTGCAGTCATTGGTACGGAAAAGGTCTTGGATGTGATGGTAGGAGGCTGTGGCTGAGGTAGGAGGAGGGAAAGGTCACTAGAAAAGAGGAGATCAAGAAGCTGAGAGGCCAGGCTATTAGAAGGGGTGTCTATGTGTTTGCTGAAATCATTGAAAATTATAATCAAATGTGCTGAGAGTGTGGGAGTGAGTAGGGGCGATCTGGTAATGGCTACCAGAAGAGTGGTGGGATAATATTCAAAGCTGGGAAGAGGGACAATGATCTGGAAATAGCAGCGAGAAGCAAGGACAAGCACCCCACCTCCAGGCGCAGTGGAATGAGGGCGTGTGCAGTGGTGTGCTGCCGCCTGCTGACATGGGCCACTGTGGCATCTCTTCTCACGTCCACATTCAGAGAAGTCAGAGTAGCAGCTTGAAATCAGCCACAGTGAGAGTATTGACACTGCAGAAATCAGCACGACCATGAGTCAGGGCTCCCTTCCCCCAGAGCTGGCCCACCAGCACACCCCTGCGAGTGGGAGAGGAAACAGGCACCTCTTGAAAGCCGCAGGGGAAGCAGTGACTGCAGGCAGGGCTGGGTTTCAGTGAGAGCAGGAAGGTGGAGGGCTCAAAGAGGCTGAGGCCTGAGAGTTTGCTGAAGATTTGCTTGATCTCCAGAGCTGTGTGGAAGGGTTCAGGGAGAGGTGGCCAGAGCTTTATAGGGATTAAAGTTCAGGGATAAGGGGTGACCTGAGTGTGGGAGCTGAAGGACATTAACAGGGATAAAGGCCTAATGAGATTAGTCCTCATGGTTTCAGGGCAGAAAGTGGTGAGGAGGCTCAGGTGAGGGTCTTGCAAGGAACACACAGAAATTACAGGTTTATTGGGTTAGTGTACAAATAAAGGACAATAGGAAATTGTTACGTTGCTTTTAGTAATTGCCATGTGAGAATATAATACGAAAATAAGAACTTTAAACTGTTTCATTTAGGAGCTCTATGTCAATAGAAGAGTCTACACAAATGTCTCATCAGGCACAGAATGAGAGAAGGTACCTTAGGTTCCCCTGATTCCTGGTCAGATAACCAGGAGGGCCACTTGAGGAATGGAAGAGAATTTTGAAACCAAATCCATTGCCACATCTTTTTGCAAGAGGTCTGGCCCAGAAGATAGGCTGGTGTGGCTTTTGAGAAGTCACTTAATCTCTGAGAGCCTCAATAAATGAGGTTCATGATATCTACAAATAATTTTTCTCTCTTCTCATGTAAACTTAACTGTGAATAAAAATTAATGGGGAATCTTACAGATTCCTAGGCCCTATTCCCAGAGACTCTGATTCAGTAGATCATGAACATAGCCCAGGAACCTGCAGCTTATCTAAGTGCCTCAGGTACTCGTGGTAAGTGGTATGAGGGGCAGCATTGTGCTAGGGAATAGTGGACAAGCATGTAAAACATTTTTGTGCTCTTTATAAGAAAAGTGACATGTTTTGGAGGCAAGCTGGGTTTTGGAGGCAAGCTGGGTTTTTGGTTTTTTAATTTTGTACAGGTAGAAAATCATATCTGATTTTCAAAGATTGTGAAAGAATGGAGAGGAAGGCCTCTCCCAAAAGGGCATATTAGTGGAGAGTAATACCCATCTAAAGGAGTATGGAATCACTGATGTAAATTTGAGGAGTTAGAGGTTGGTGGTTTGTACTAAAGCAGCAGGCAAGTGGACATGACTTGGGAGTGGGGTGAAGACATATAGGACATCCTTTTGCAAGAATGAGAAACCAAGGGCTCCTTGAGGAGAAAGGCATGGGTGAAGCCCAAGGAGGGAGATGATTGAAAGAGAGAGAGAGAGAATAGATTACAGGGTGAACTAACCAGGCAGTGGCCAGGGAAAGTACGAAAGGCTGAAAAGCAGGAAACAGATACTTAGTGGACCATCAACTAACAAGGAATCGAGAACCTGGGCTCTTAGCCTGCATGTACTACCGTGTTTCCCCGAAAATAAGACCTACTCATAAAATAAGCCCTAGCAGGGTTTCTAAGCACTTGTGCAATATAAGACCTACCCCGAAAATAAGATCTGGTGATGGGCGTGGCTACGCAGCATATCTGCACAACCCATGCATTTTGCCTTGTAGCAGTAAAGATGAGCAGCCCTTCTCATCTGCCCCATGAGAGCTCTATTGCTCGACATGAGAGATTGAGGCCAATGGTTCTAAAGGAAATAGAGTCACAAGAAATTCAGGATGGAGTTCGGGGTTTGGAAAGTTATGATGATGTTCCAGAAGAAGATGACTTAACTATATTTGAATAAATGTAGATTGTTGTACCGTACTTTAAAAAAAATAACACATCCCCTGAAAATAAGCCCTAGGGTGTCTTCTTGAGGAAAAAAAAATATAAGACCCTGCCTTATTTTTGGTGAAACATGGTATAAATTAAAGTACTTTAATTATGCAGTGGATATTTCTGGAAGAATACACAAGAAACTGGGCAGATGGGAGGGAAGAAGGCTTACTTATTTATATTGTTAAAATTTTCACTATGTGCATATGTTATCTCTTCAAATAATTAATGAATCAGAATGCTTTGCCTGTCTATGCTAATTAAGAATTTATAGCAAGGTTTTACGTATCATTTAGTCCTCAAAATGCCTTCAACATACACTGAGCTCCATTTCATAAATGGGAAACTAAATTTCAGATGTTTGAAGATTTGTCTAAGATCTTAAGGAAGGGAAGCAAGACTGGAGCCCAGGTCTTTTAATCCCAATCCATCACTTTCTAGATTATATCATAGATGCCCCTTCCTGCTAACTGTTCAATCTCACCACACTGCTTGACTTCCCTGGATCTGTTTCCTCATTTCTAAAGTGAGGGAAGTGGATAACTTGGTCCTTTTTAAAACTCTAGTATGAATTAGAATCACAGGGGGAGCCTGGTTTAAAAATGCAGATGCCCTGGCCTTATCTCTAGGGAATCAGAGGCCAGAGATCTGAGATCTATCTATCTATCTGCATTTTAACACACACCTCACATGCCCTCCAAAGTTTGAGAGAAGCTCAACTAGATTATTGCTTTTCAAACTTCAATGTGTGGGTTTTTTTGTGTTTTTTTTTTTTTGAGACAGAGTCTTGCTTTGTTGCCCAGACTAGAGTGAGTGCCATGGCGTCAGCCTAGCTCACAGCAACCTCAAACTCCTGGGCTCAAGCAATCCTGCTGCCTCAGCCGCCCAAGTAGCTGGGACTACAGGCATGCGCCACCATGCCCGGCTAATTTTTTCTATATATATATTAGTTGGCCAATTAATTTGTTTCTATTTATAGTAGAGACGGGGTCTCGCTCTTGCTCAGGCTGGTTTCGAACTCCTGACCTTGAGCAATCCGCCCGCCTCGGCCTCCCAGAGTGCTAGGATTACAGGTGTGAGCCACCACACCCGGCCTTCAATGTGTCTTTGACTTACCTGGGATCTTATTAAACCAGAGAGTCTATCTAATTTGGAAGATTTGGGGTGAGGACTGACTGGGATTCTGCACTTCTAACAAACTCCCAGGTGAAGCTGATGCTGCAGTTCTGGGAATCACAATTTGAATAGCAGAGAACAGAGGATCTTGAACATCTTCTCTTGCTCTAAACTTCATAGTGTCAAATAAGGGAGAAAGAAGAGCAATTTTGCTTAGAAAGTTGCTTTGAAGTAGGTGAGAAAAGGAAGACCAGCTCAAAGGAATTGCTGGGAGGGAACTCAGGGGAAGAGGAACTAGTCAACAGAGGTTTCAGGTGCCAAGAAAGGTGAGGCCTTGTCCTGGAGCCCAGGGGTGGTGCTAGAGAGATCGCAGAAGGAGCAGAGTCATCTAAAGGAACTGTAGAGACTCAAACAGTCTGAGAGGGAAGCTGAACATGCGACGAGAATTCCAATGAGACCACTGAGACAGGCTACCATGACTGAGAGGCAAGTTACCATAGGTCATTTACTGAAGTTCCATGCACATGAACTTGCGGTCACAGGCCAGAATGTTACTCTAAGTCTGTGTTACTCTGAAAAGAGCCTGTGAGGCAGAAAAAGTGATGAGAAAGGCTGTATGTTTGGGGAATATGCTCAACAATATGTTTGGAGCAGAAATCACTCTTTTCGCTTGGATGAAGGCAGCAGAATTCTAGAAAACATTCTGTTTATGGTTGTCCTGGGCCTTTTTCACCTGGTTTAACTTTGGTTGGTGTTGGTTTTTTCTGACAGTGTATTTCTTTTTTGCATAGGAAACAACGGGAATTCTGGTGGTCTAAGCCGTACCAGCCTCACATCTGCTTCAAATCAACCATGTGTGAGTATGTGGCTACCTCACATCCAACATGGGTGTTTCTGGGGAAGCCTGCGTGCTCTCTCCCAGGGCTGGCTTCCAGCCCAAGAGAGGATCGAAATGTCCCCTCTGCCCTTCAGTAATCTCCCAAGCAGCCAGCTATTTGAAGTCCTACCATAGACAGTCATTCCTTTGGATTTAGAAAAGTTTTCAGTTTATGAAGATGCAAATGTTCTTGTCTTGGTAACACCTAAAGTCATCCCTCCCCAACTTGAAGTCCTTCTTTCATATTTTGAAAAAGTCTTTTTTTCTTGGTACCAAACTGGATTGAAAGAATTCTTTATTTTCCTATTTCATTTATCAAAGGTACATGGAAATGCTAATTAGAGCTTTTAACAACATTTGATAACTATCTGTAGTATGACTCTGGTTGACATTTAACTTGCTTATGCAACCTAAGTATGATTTATGTTAGACTTTTTGGAAAGTCCACATGGAAAGCATCACCCTATTATTATCCTCTCAAATCTCTAACTCCAGGAGCCTCAGGGTTGAAACTACTGACTTAAAGGGTCACTTCTCCATTTTGGATGGAGCATGATCATTTTCTAAACTACTAAGTCATTTCTTTAACAACAATTATAGATGATGATTTAGATGATACTGCAATAAATATCATTTTGTCATTTTCTGCTCTGCTTTAATCTTGCCATAGGAAAAAATAATCTCAGGGGCAGGCTACTGAGTTAAGAGGTAGAGGCAATTTTATTAATCAAGAGTTATTAAAAAATTCAAGGCTTGTGTTAGTTTGCAGATGGTTATTAAAAAGTTTTTTACTGAAGATGTACTTACAGTTAAGTTGTCATCCCTCTTTCTTTCTTTCCTTCCTTTCCTTTCATTCTTTCTCTCTCCTTCTTCCCTTTCTTCCTTCCCTCCAAGATATGAGTTTCTAAAATATGCTGAACTAAGCACATTAATTCAGAAATGAGTAGAACGCAACCCTTTTATAGCTCATGGGATGGAAGGGAATGGAATCCACCGGAAGCAAATAGATCTCCATTTCCAAAGAGGCTCACACATGTATTAGTGGTTCTATAGGGCTTTCATTTATCATTCTGTTACTAAATCTTCACTGAATTTCTAGAGAATAAACTCAGAAAGTTAATTACAATAATTTTGGCACTTTTCTTTTCGTATGGTAAATTAACCTGAGAAACCATAGCGTAGATTGTTGTGTTCTCTTTTTTTCCTGCTTTGACCATTTGCCTATACCCAGCGATTTCTATGGAAGAAGGTAAGAAATAGTATTTAGAAAACAACTATTATTTCTAAAATCTCCTAGAAATTTCTTGTACTTTTAAAACTTCAATTCAGTTCAGGTTATTTATTAAGCTCTTCCTAGGTACCTAGTAGTGTGCTAGTCATTAATACCCTAATTTATAAAAAGATGTCATTCAAAAGAAGGCATGCAAAGTATAATTATTCTAACACTGAGAGGAATAAAGAAAAAGAAGGAATATTTATATGCAACTCCAGAGTTTAACACAACACATAGTAAGAACTCAATAAAAGTTGCAAAACTGATCAAATGTTTTTTTCAACTGCTTTATACACATTGCATAAAAATAACACTGTAAGGCAATTGCTATTGTTCCCATTTTATGGATGAAAAGATTGAGATTCAGAGAAGGTAAGAACGGTTGTCAGAAGTTGCAAATGGTGCACTCTGGATTCCAGCCTCCATCTGTCTGAAGGGCCCCTGCCTCAGGGGCCAAATGGGACCTTCAGTCATCACTCTACCCTTCTCCATGCCCAACCATCTGGATGACTCGCAGTGTCAAATACACACGTACATGAGCATATGCACTTGTGCACACACACGAAAGAAAGCAAGAGGCTGTCTGCTTTTGGAGGGGATAAAAGAGAGAAGAGCTATCCCCTTAGCCATCACCCATGTTTTATCCTTAAAATTGGAAAGGGAGAGCAACTAACTACAAAAGAGGGACTTTTGAAAACTGATCTATCAGGCTAGGGCTCCAGCCTGTGTCTCCCAACGACAGGAGAGGTGTATGACACAGGCAGGTGATAGCAGAAATGGGAGCAGAAGGAGGTGGGAGAGGGAGGCAAGTCCAGGGTGCCTGCTTCTGGGTTTCTCTACCCGGGGTCTCATTGCAGGCTGCTTGGGCATAACCCTGGGGAAGGGCTGGGGACTCCGAGTTCTTGGTTAATAATAAGCCCACTGTGTTAGCTTGGGCTGCCATAACAAGATATCACAGACTGGGTGGCTTAAACAGCAGATGTTTATTTTCTCACAGTTCTAAAATCAAGGTTCCAGCAGGGTTGGTATCTGGTGAGGCCTCTCTTCCTGGTTTGCAGATGGCCACCTTCTTGCTGTGTGCTCATGTGGCCTTTCCTCTGTGCATGCTTGGAGGGAGAGAGAGGGAGATCTCCAGTGTCTCTTCCTCTTCTTGCAAGGCCACCAGTCCTATGGAGTTAGGGCTCTAACCTTAAGACCTCATTTAACCTTGCTTAGCTCCTTAGAGGCTCTATCTCCAAATACAGTCATACTGGGAGCTAGGGCTTCAACATATGAATGTTGTAGGGACACAATTTGGTCCTTAACACCCACCCTAGCTCATCATGTGGAATTATTGATTTGGGAAGAGCATATAATCAGTGGACCTATCTTAGATCCCAGAGTCACGTATCAGAAAAGTCAGGGCTTCTTGTGCTGTTACTGGAGAATCACACCTGGTCTCCGTGCCTTCATCCGTAAAACAGAAAAGACAACTGTAATTTTTGTTTGCCTTTTGGAAAGCCTTCTAGTTATGTCCTGGGAACTAATGAACTCACTATTGTTATAAATGGCTAATCTGGAAAACAGTCGCTAAATGAAGACAAGGGAGTGAATGTCAGTGCTGAAAATCTCAGCCATGTCACTTGTTTATCTGTGCCCCTACCTCTATGAGACAGTATTATTTCTTAAAAGTTTTCATATTTTATATTTCATTTAAAAACATGAATGAATTGTGTGATTTTTTTAAGGGAGTGGTGATGTGTTACTTCCTGATATTATAGCTTATTATACAGACTTTTGGGACGTGTATAACCTTCATTTCTTCAACCACCATCTGTTGAGCACTTGCGATATGCTGGGCACTGTGCCAGGCAAGAGAGGTACAGTGCTGAGATAAAAAAAAAAAACAAACACCCTTTTTTTCCAGAATGTATATTCAAACCAAATATTTTGATATTCAAAGGAAAATTTACCTACTATGTGCAAGACACTCTCCTAAGCTCTGTAAAGTGTGCAAAAACTAGTAAGACAGTTCCTGCCTTCAAGGAGCCGTCTAGGAGAGCAAACAAGACAAACTCCCAAATGGTTACAGAAGCAGGGTAGATGTACAGGAGCAGAGAGTTCAAGGTAGTAGGAAGACAGTGTTAGGCAGGTTCATAGCAGCGGTATTGATTTTTATCAGCATTTGAGATGGACCCTGAAGCATTACGGGCACAGGGAACAGTGTAAGCAATGGCACAGAGGAAGAACCATGGTATCACTCTACTTGTATGGTAGCATAAGATATGTGAAGGAGAGAAGTGGAAAACAAGCTTCCTAGTTGGGTTTGGATCATGTTTTGAAGTGTTTGAGTGTGAAGATAAGTGATTTTTAAAGTTATATTCTTTTATTCTATATACCTCGAAAGTAAAAATAATTAACATTTATCGAGCACTTACTATGTGCCTGAGCTTTTCATCTCAATTAATTCTGTTCTGTGTGGTAGGTATTATTACTATCCCCATTTACAGGTGGAAAACAGAGACTTAGAGATAAACTAACTTGTCCAGTATGCAAAAGCCTGTGCTTTTTGTCAGGCATGGTGGTATGTGTCTATAGTTCTGGCTACTTGGGAGGCAGAGGTGGGAGGATCACTTAGGTACAGTGAGCTATGATCTTGCCTGTAAATAGCTGCTGAACTCTAACCTGGGTAAGATGGCAAGACTTTCTCTCTAAAAAAAAATTTTAAAAGCCTATGCTTTTTAATTTTTCACCATTTTATGTTATAGAAATTCTTGAATCACATTTTCATTTAATATGGTAGAGTCCTATTTATATCTCCAAATGAGCAATAGTTGTAAGAGTAACATTACTGTAAGATGGTCTGAGTTTTATTGATACAAACCTATACATAGGGAATTTTGTTTTTAATGCTGACGTATTTGAAGTTCTATTTTTCCCTTTCCACGTTCTTTTATATTATAGATGATGACATGAAGATTGACGAGAAATGCGTGGAAGCAGGTAACATTTCCTCTTAATTGATTTACCATCAGAAGAAATATGAAGCACTTCATCTATAAATTATCTGAACCATAGGTGGCCAGTGGGGCCACGGGCTTTTCCTGTGGAAGAAATGTGTAAATTGATTCTTCCACTTCCATCCTTTTTCTGTGGTTCTGACACTTGGAAGGAGAAGCAGTGGGAATGCCTCCAGCCTTCCACCAACCTACTAGAGAACATTCTAGAAAACAATATCTTGGCAATGATGTCAGGAACACTTAGTAACACTCAGCATATCAGACCGGTGGAACACTTGGAAACTCCAGTGCTTTTTGTAGAATATCATAAAATATTGTAATATCAATTTTTTATAAAGCAAAACATATATTTTGTTATTAAGTTTGATGACGTCTTCTAGCATAGATAGTAGTAGGTTCCAAAATTTTGAGAAATATATGAAAGCTTTTTACATTTCTATACTTTTTTTTTGTAAATTGGGAAAAGATTTTTCAGATCTAGTGGCAGAACTAAGATTAGCTAAAAAATAACTAGAATTTTGTTGGGTTAGTTGGAGAGACTTTAATCTGACAGGTGACTTTGTCTCGGCTTTAGGGGCTAATCTAGTTTTTAGAAATGAAAGAACAATATGAAATTTTTAAATAGTGGGTATTTCAAAGATTCACATATATCTCCTATAACAACTACAGAGTAATGTTGACACTACGTTTATTTTACCAAGTACACAATTCTGTTTTTGTTTTAACTTGCAGTAATATTCATTTTCCTTCTGTAATTTTAATTATCTTACTAGGTAATACATTCACATAGTTCAAAATAAGAAGTTCCTTTCTTTTCAGGTCTCCTACTCAGTTTTCTTTCCTGAAGGAATAAATATTATCAGTTTATTTGGTATCTCTCCAGACACCTTCTGTGCATATAGAAGCAGTGATGTTTATTTTTCTCCTCTTTCCCTTCTCATCCCCACTTTCTTTTTCACAAACAAACTTCATATACCCTTTGATGGTATGCTATACACACTTCTCTTCTTAGCTTGGAGATGATTCTATTTTAGTCCATACAGAGCCTCCTTTGTTTTTCAACAGCTTATGGGTTATTGTACACTTACATAATTAAACACTTATGTCCTATTTTTTCCCATTATTAGCAGTGCTACAATGAATAGCAGTGCTACAATGACATATAAATATGTCATTTCACATGTGTGGGTATTTCTTAGATGCAGCATTGCCTGATCCAAGGGTGCATGTATTGGAAATGTTCAAATTGCCTTCCATAAAAATTCTAGTTTCTTAATCCTTAATCTCTTTGTAAAATACTAACAAGAATTGTTTTAACTAATGAGGAAGTTGGTTTATCTCACATGTTTCTCAGCTGCCTGAACAAACCTGCTGCAGTAGCCCCTCCTGTACTTACTTGTTCTCCTTGCCATGCTGCCCTTGCTTGTTGGGCCCCCACTCGCCTCCATCTGCAAGCTCACCAGCAGCAAAGCTGTGCCATGTCCAACGGTCTATAGGGGCTTCCTGTGACATTCCACTTTCCGCTTCTCTCTGAGCCTCTTTTTAAATTTCATTTTATTTATTCTCTTCTATGTTGTTTACTTATTTTAAGTTCCAGCTGCACCCTGATTGTCACTATAGAGTAACACTGAATACCATGTATCCTATTTAAGGCTTATATATGTCATAGGGACACCACTGACTTGACCTGGATTTAGGGACAAAATTTAAAAGGTGGTGTGTGGGCAAAAGCATAAGCCAGGGAATTAGATCATTAAAATATAGACTCAGTGTAGATAGTAATGTAATGACATTTTTGTTTTTTGCCTCCATGGAAAATCATAGATGAAGAAATATTTGAATCTGGTAAGTAAAAAATATTTGGTACTGATTTTTAAATGTATATTCCAAATTTTGGTATAATTTGAAGACATATTTAGAGTTATGACACAATAATTATTTAAATATATCAACAGTAAAAAAAATTAAAAAATAACTGTGAGGTGACAGAGATGTTAATTTGCTTCATGCCAGTAACCATTGTACCATCTATATGTAGCCCACAGAGTCATGTTGTCAATGTCAAATAAGTATTATAAAATTTATTTTAAAACAATACAGCAACAGTGCTTTTCATAGGCCCAGTACTGTTTCTGAGGCCAGTACTGTCCCTGAGGCAGCATTTTTGGGATTCTGTGGGGGCATTTTTTGGTTGTCACATTGATGAGGGCACTACTGGCTTTTAATTGGTAGGAATCAGGAATGGTAGATATTCTGCAGTGTATGAGACTGTCCTGCACAATGAAGGATTGTCCCTAGACACACATACCTTTTGCATGTCCTGCTGGACAAAACTCATTATAAATACAAATGAGTAGTTGTTTAATACACTGTAGGTGTATTAAAGAAGGTGTATTATAGGTGTATTATATCACAAGATATAAAATGAAAAGCCCAGTGGTTTAGAAGACAGTCATTATGGAGAGACACATTCAAACAGAATATAGACATTGCCTTGAAGTTATTGAATAATTCAGTCCACACATCCTGTCTATTCCATATTGATAATAAATAAACTAGAAAGTTTGGTATCTATACTGAATTAATTTTATTTTTCTTTAATACATTATTCTTGATGAAAAATGGTAGGTATCAAGTGTCTATCCCTCAAAATAATGTTGACATCACTAGTAACAAAATAGGTCCCACAGAGTATTTTTTAAAAACTACCAACCTGCTGGGGCATATTAACATTATCACCTGATTCCATGTATGTTATATTGCCTCATTTTCTCCATTCCGTTGGCCTCTAATTGCTTTGTCATATTTTCTCTACCTCAATTAAGGCAACTCTCCTCTTTCTCTGATCATGCACAAATAAATCTAATCTGTTGTTACTTATCAGAGCACTTTTTTATTCTTCTGTCCACCAGTTCATTTTTTTTTTAATGGATTTTGCTTTTATTCTAATATTGCATCCTTGAGATACCTTGCATTTCATGTCTTTCAAGATGTGGAATTTAGGCCGGGCGTGGTGGCTCACGCCTGTAATCCTAGCACTCTGGGAGGCTGAGGTGGGCGGATTGCCCAAGGTTAGGAGTTCAAAACCAGCCTGAGCAAGAGCGAGACCCCAGCTCTACTAAAGAAATAGAAAGAAATTAATTGACCAACTAATATATAGAGAAAAAATTAGCTGGGCATGGTGACGCATTCCTGTAGTCCCAGCTACTTGGGAGGCTGAGGCAGCAGGATTGCTTGAGCCCAGGAGATTGAGGTTGCTGTGAGCTAGGCTGACGCCATGGCACTCACTCTAGCCTGGGGCAACAAAGTGAGACTCTGTCTCAAAAAAAAAAGATGCGGCATTTTCACATCACTGGGATATTAAGAGATTAGGTTTCCCGAAGTCTCTGAGTGAGGAAGAGAGAAACATTAGTCTCAGGGACAAGTCAGACTTCCACAAAGTAACTGGAGCTATCTTTCTGTACCATGAGCATTCCTTTCTCTTTTTTTTTATTTCAGCATATAATAGGGGTACAAATGTTTAGGTTACATGTATTGACTTTGCTCCACCTGAGTCTGAGCTTCAAGAGTGTCCATCCCCCCACCAGTTCTTTTTCTCTTCTATTTCTCAGTACTTCATATAAGGAATATTTTCTGATCTCTCACTTCCCTTAAATCCATGCTTCTTCATTATAAGTAGGTATAAGCATATAGTAGTTTCTTATGTCTTCTAGAGATGTTTAACTGAGGATTTATATTTTGATATACATACTTTAAAAATACATCCTTTTTTTCCTCTTTATTACAATTAGAGCATTGTATTGATTTTTAAAATTATGTGTATGGTAGATTATACTATCTATAAATTTCATAAGATTAGAGAGATTGTTACAGATACTAGTTGTAAAAAATACAGCATTGAGACAGATGACTTAGGAGCTACTCATTAAATTATGTACTTACCATTTATGTTGTTTCTAAATTTTCTGTTTTTCTATTAGATGGTTGGCCTGTTAGGGATAATTTAATTACACTTGCTAAATGTCTGGGATTGGCTTAGTTTTTAATTTATTAGATTATCCTCATCCTCCTTCATTCTGTTCAACTCACATTGTTTTGCTGAAAAACACTCCACATGCTAAGAATGTGGTTGGGACCCAGGGGTATGTGTGGGGTCTGTGATGGGATAGGCCATGTGGTGTGGCAGGTAAGGCCACAGACTTGAGCAAGATTGCCCAAGTATGACAATACTTGAGTCCATCACTCACGGACCGTGGATCCTCTGATACTCAACCCCTCTGCCCTTTAGGTTCCCCATCTCCAAAATAGGAACAATAATTTATAAGGAAAGTGCTTAGAACAGTGCCTGGCACACAGTAAGTGCTACACACGTGTAGCTGGAGTTATTGTTGCAAAATCTTGTTCCTTAGGGGCACCTGGCAGCTGGTTCTCTTAGACTAGCACTGCAGAGGGAAGCGTGTAGCTGCCCTTACCTACTATAAAGCACTTCTCTCAGTTGAAAGAGAACTCTCAAGTGAGTTCTGAACCCAGCTCTAGAAGCTCAGTCAAGGAACAATTAGTACCAGCTGGAATATCTTCTAAGTCAACAACTCTTGGCATTCATTCATGATGCTTAATTCTGTTACTTAGACCATTTAGTGGGCAGTTAAGGTTCTTTAGATTCAGTCTCTACTCTGAATGAAGTATAATGTGGCCTCCTGGAATTTCTCCAGGAGGTAATGGTATAGTTTATTTAATTAGGAATGACATTTAAAAAAAATACCAAGAGAATAGGGCTGTTTCAACATCTCCAGAAAACAAAGAAGAAGGTTTGCTTTGTATCTGGTTCCCCTGTCTTCAGGAGGACAGCCGGAGATGGACTTGCTGCAGCGTCTACCCCAATGCCATTTCTACCACTTCCTCCCCTTCCCAGGGCTGCAGCAACACTGCCTCTGGGGGAGAGCGAGAAGGCTCAAGTCCATTTCTTTCCTATAATTTCTCTCTTTCAAGCCCCATTTTGTGCCAACCAAGTAGAGTCTTTATGGATAAAAAACCTTCAGGGAGAGTCTTAGGTAACTTGCAGAAAAGTTATTGTCCCAGAGCAGCAGAGTCAGGTCAAATCAGTTCCCCATTCTCAGCTGTGTGCTGTTCATTTGCTTTGCCAAACCTTACCCAAGTTAAGTTACTGCTAATGGTAACAGGAATGCCTCACTTATGTCATTTACCTTGATTTGATGGCTAACTTGATCTTCTCAAAGGCTTAACTTTTTCATGTCTGTTTTTGCTCTTACCCAAATATCCAGAAGAACTTTCAGAAGGTAATTTTTTGTTTTTATTTCCTGGATATGTCAAATAGAGCTATGCTTAAGATCTTTCAGTGCCTCAAAGTGAATATTTGACAGAATAACTTTTAGGGTGGAGATATGCTATTTTATGAGTGAAATCAATGGTTAAATATTCAATTTAATAAAAAAGCAATTTAAAATGAAAAAAGTAATTAAGATTTATGAAGGGATAGCCCTAAATAAACATTTCCTTTTTAACTTATTGACATATCTTAGTTAGAAAATGTACTTATATACCAGAAGATGAAATTGATGTTACTTACTGTGTTTTCTTGGTATTTTAAAATGCATTTTTTAAAAATGGTATATATCAGTTTATTCTATGAACAAATGATATTTATGTATTGTTCCAATAATCAGAATAGAATTGTATAAATAACAAGGAACTTACGTAAAAAGTAATTTGAAAATGATATTTTTGTGACATTTTTCCTGAGGTTTATAACAATTTTTCTGAGGCCCCTAACAGAAGCAGAAACAGGAGTTTGTACTAGCTCTGGATGCTTCAGAGGTGCTGGGCACAGTTCTCCTCACTTTGTCTCTCAGATTCCTGGTCAATCAGAAACAACTGATAGCCATAGAACAAATGCTAATTTTAATAGAATGAACCATTTTAAAAGGGAGAAAATGATCCATATCTAGTTAAGAGATGAAGCATAGGACCTGCAGGAACATCATATCTACCAGTTAAAGCCAAAGCCAATTTATCTACTTTTTAAAAATCAGTTTTCTTAGAGTATGTTTAAAAATGTAGTTTTTATGTTTTTACTATGACTTGATATCTTTCTTATTACTTTAGACAAGCCTAAAATAATGTTTTGTTCTCAGCTATACTACACAGACTGCATTCAGTAATGCTAAAATTCTGTAAAGTGTCCCTCTATAGTTTGTGGTATGTGGACAATAGGATGGAAAGTGCTTAGAAAACATTCTTCAGTAAGCCACTCCAGGATAAATTCAACTGTGCTGTCATCTACTGAAGTAATATCACTTGCAAATTTGCAGATGATTTCATGCATTTGTTCTAAGTGAACTTCTCCTTGCCCTCACACATTCTGTTCTCTGTGTTCCAGACAAGGAGGAATTTGTTGGCTATGGTCAGAAGGTCTTTATCGGTAGGTGATGAATAAGAAGCAGGTCTTTCTCACTTGCTAAGTTACGTTCATACCAGCCTGATGCTCTTCTGAAAGCTTCTTTTACTGATTAACATTTCTAAACTTGTTCCTTGTTCTCGTTCCCCTCCATCCAATTTTTTTCTTGTCAATATTCTGATCTATTGATTATTCATTATTATTCATCTAATTTCCACTGGGTGTCTTTTTTTTTTTTCATCAGAAAGTGTTTACTATTACGGGTGTCTCTTAATTACTCATCAAACACAAATATTTTGGTTTCCTTTCAAACTGTTCCATAATCTATTTATCTTACTCTACAGAGACAAATTCTCTGACTACTAAGCTCACATTTTGTGGCCACATTTCTATAATCTGTCACCTGGCCAGAGCTTTCTGAAGGACAAGGCACCACTCATTTAAAATCACTCTAGGCTTCCTGCTTCAGGGAGGCAGGGAGAACAGCAGAGCTGCAGGGGCTGTAAACTAGAAGGTTGGATCCCAAGCCTGATGTACTTTGGAATCATCAGGGCCACCATTCTGCATTGCTTCCAGAATCATTCAGTTCAAAAGCCACTGGCTAGGGCTGAGGAGAGTAGGCAGCTGCACAAGGGTAGGGAGTAAGGAGTGTGGGATGGGACATGAGAGCCTGAGTAGCATGTGTGTGGGGGCATCTGTGCAGGGGGCTATGGTGGCCTGGCGCAGGTTGTCAGAGCCAGAGTAACATCAGAAGGGCAGCTGCCATTGGTTGGCCTCTGATGGCCCACAGCCTCTACACAGATGCTGTCCTCATTTAGCCTGGGCTCTGACACTTTCTGCCATGCTGCCAGCACTGTCTGGCCCTCTTCCTACACAGGTGCTCTTGATTGATATAACAGCCAAATGTATTGAGGGCAAGAGCCAGGGTTCTCACTGTCAGAGAAGGCATTACATATACGGACAGGGAAGGCTAGAATGAATCATGTAATGTTGCATTGGCATTGTGGGTATTGGTGGGAACTCAGAGTTTTCAATATATATAGATGTAATATAAATGTAAGCATGTGTGCATATTACTATTTATTCATACACATACAGTCCTAGCTCTATCTACTGAGAGGCCCTGGACACATCTCTAAAAATAATAGAAAGCCTGGTGATTTGAAAGATTAAGCAGGAGTCTAAGGGTTCATGATTAAGAAATTAAGAAATCATGATTAAGATATCCATCTTTGTCACTGATCGCACAGTCCTAAGCAGCTGCCTAGCCTGTCTGTGTCTTAGTGTATACATCTGAAAAATGTGAATAACGAGCCTGCTCCACTGTTTCCACCCCCCCCAAACCACCATCATCTCTCACCCAGACTACAGCAGTAGCTTCCCAACTGCTCTCCCCCAGGCTACACTTACTCCCCCTACAGTTTACACCCTCCTTGCAGTAATCAGGGGAATCCTTCAGAAACATGAATCAAATCATGTCGTCCCCCCACCCCCTCAGCCAGGTCTCTCGTCTGTTCATCCAGAGGCTCCAAGATCCACCACCCTGCTGAGGCCCTGTGTGGTCTGGCTCCAGCTCCCTCTCCAACCCCATGTCCTGCCACACCCGCTCCTGCTCACTGCCTTACAGCTCTCCGGACACCCTTGCTTTTCCTCAAACCTTCCCAGCACAGTCCCTTTCTCTGCACCTTTGCATTGCCCTTTCCCCAGCCCAGCTTGCTCTTCCCAGCAGAGGTCCCCTTAGCTGGCTCCATTGCTTCACTCACACGTCTGTTCAATGCCGACTTTGCAGAGATACTCTGATCACACTGCGGCCCGCAAAGGCGCCCTCATCACCCTCTATCCACTCAGTCTTCCTCTAAGCACTTATGTTTTGTTGTTTTTGTTTTCTTCCCGCTCTACAAAAGTGAATGTGGAGAGGAATTGGTCTTAGATGAGTTGGGCACTCTATCTCCAGTACCAAGCACAATGCCTGGCACGCAGTGGGTGCTGGATGCACCTTACAGATAACGCGCACGGGGCATTGTGTTATTTTCCCGTCATGTGGCTTCCTATCTTCTAGTTTCAGGCAGACATGATTATATTAACTAACACTTTAGGATCACAGTTGCTGCATGTTTCATCAGATCTGAAGCAAGAAGTAATCTCTCCTGCCCTAGATCTTATGTTTTGTTCATGTCCCCCCTCCAGCTGGTTTCCGCCGCAGCATGCGCCTTTGTCGCAGGAAGTCTTACCTAAGCCGGCGGCGTGCCAGCGTGTGCTGCGCTGGCGGCTGCTACAGTGCAGTGGGTGCTCCTTACGAGGAGGTGGTGAGGTACCAGCGACGCCCTTCAGACAAGCACCGCCTCATAGTGCTTGTGGGTATGTCTCAGCATGCACTCTCCTCTTCGCGTCAAGTTTTCCTTCTAGGTTCAACTGTCTTGCATTGGGGGAAGTGGTAAAAGTAGAACTCTTTATGGACCCCCATACAAATACCTTTTTTAAAACCATAAAATATCCTATTTTTTTAATGTGTGTTTATAAATAAAACTTTATGAAGCTTTTTTGTCTACAACTGAGTGTGGTATGCAACAGTGTGTATGAACTTACATAGTAAGTTGTATTATGATAAGGATATAACTGTGATTTTTTTTTTTTTTTTGCCTGTTTAGAATTTGTTCTATAACCATAGGTGAGTGTTCCCCTAGACTGGTCAATTGTCTGTATCATGAAAATAAATCCTTAAATTCCATTTCTCTAAGAAATATATAACTATCTCTTTGAAAAGTATCTAAAATCTTCTGGACTGTATCTTTGATGCTAAAGATCAGGACAGATACAGTGCTGGGGTCACCTGCTTTTGTGTCCAAGACTTCTACAAAAGCTTGCGTGCGTGCCTGCCTGCCAGTAGCAAACTTCCATCTTACTGCCATCCTGTTTGTGTGTTCAGCTGCGAGCAGGGAAGACCCCTAAAGAGCAGAACAACCAAATGGGCCTTTCAGCCCAGAACAGCCCAGGAACTATTCATTTGCAGGACCCAGTGAAAAATGAAAATACAATGGCCCTTGTTCAAAAATTATTAAGGATTTCAAGATGCAATAGGAGAGCATTAATCTAAGCGTGGTATCCTTCTAAGCACAGGCCCTGTATAAACTGCACAGGTTTTATGCCCATGAAGTCCGCCATTCATGGGGAAATGGGGGCGCTGATTCAGTCAGGTCCGTGCGGGGGGATTTTGCCGCCCAAGCAATGGTACCCCTGAATTCTATAAGCCACAGAACCTAGGAATGTTGAGGCTGATTTCTGTTGTGATACCATAGAAACTTCATTTGAATAAGGAAGGCATATCTCTCAGATTATCTAAAATGAGACCAGCTAATTTTCATGGCATCCAATGTAAGACGAGGTTTGCTGGGGTGAGAGGTTCCTGAAATTCCCGACCTCATTTCGGAATGTCGAAGCAGTGTGGGTTACTACTCCATGGGCAACCAGGAAAATTCCCAAGAGTTTTCTGGAGTTGTTCCAATTCGTGAGGAAAGAAGTTACGTTATTTTCCTAAAGCCATTTGTTCCCAAGTTTCTTCAATAAAAGGACTGAAATGATTATTTTACCACATAATTATATTTATCCACATCTAATGGTTTCTGTATGTCACTTTTTGTGTTTAGGACCATCTGGAGTTGGAGTAAATGAACTAAGAAGACAACTTATTAAATTTAATCCCAGCCATTTCCAAAGTGCTGTGCCACGTATGTTGAGTTTTTCTTTCATAATAGTTCATGTTTTGGTAAAATTTTCTTTACCTTTTTACTGATCTCACTTAATATGTCACATCTTGTTTTAAAAATAGAAGACACAAAGGATAATCATTAAGTATTTATAAAGATCAGGACAGATACAGTGCTGGGGTCACCTGCTTTTGTGTCCAAGACTTCTACAAAGCTGGTGGTGCCTGCTGCAGTAGCAACTTCCATCTTACTGCCATCCTGTTTGTGTGTTCAGCTGCGAGCAGGGAAGACCCCTAAAGAGCAGAACAACATGCCTTTCAGCCAGGAACATCCAGACATCATTTGCAGGACCCAGTGAAAAATGAAAAGAGATATGTTTATCCATTTATCCATATTGTTAATAAAGAGAATATTTAGTGGTGGGTAGCCAGTAGTTTTAAAAGGTAACTCTGTCTTTTTGTCCTTTTTATTTTTTTTAATTTAAATTCAGCATATTATGGACAATGTTAAGGTTATGTATATTGCCATACCCCCACCTCGAGTTGAGTGTCAAGCATGACCATCCCCAAATGTTGCCACATCTAACTCATTATGTTTGTATATACCCATCCCTTCATCCCCAATATCCCACCTGCCAACACCTCATAAATGTTTTCCTTATAGTCCACTTACATGTTGATCCATTAAGCAATTTGCTGTGAGTACATGTGGTGCTGTTTTCCATTCTTGAGATACTCACTTAGTAGAATGGGTCCATCCTCATCCAGGAAAATACAAGAGATGCTATATCACCGTTGTTTCTAAAGCTGAATAGTACTCTATGGATACATATACCACATTTTTATTAGTCCACTCATGAATTGATGGACACTGTGGTTGTTTCCACAAACTTTGCAATTGTGAAATTGTGCCTGCTAAAACATTGGAGTGCAGTTGTCTTTTTCATAAAGTGACTTTTGATCTTTTCAGTAGATGCCCAGTAGTGGAATTGCTGGATCAAATGGTAGATCTACTTGTATCACTTTAAGGTATCTCCACATTGCTTTCCACAGAGGTTGAACTAGTTTGCAGTCCCACCAGCAGTGTAGGAGTGTTCCTATCTCTCCGCATCCACGCCAACATTTATTGTTTGGGGACTTTTTGATAAAGGCCATTCTCACTGGAGTTAAGTGATATCTCATTGTGGTTTTGATTTGCATTTCCTTGATGATTAGAGACTGAGCATTTTTTCATATGTTTCTTGGCCATTATTCTGTCTTCTTTTGAGAAGTTTCTGTTCATGTCCTTTGACCATTTTTTGATAGGGTTGTTTGAGTTTTTCTTGCTGATTTTTGTGAGTTCTAAACAGATTCTAGTTATCAGCCCTTTATCGGATGTGTAGCTTGCAAAAATTTTCTCCCATTCTGTAGGTTCTCTGTTTGCTTTTGTGACAGTTTCTTTGGCTGTGCAGAAACTTTTTAATTTGATCAGGTCCCATTTATTTATTTTTGTTGTTGCTGTGATTGCCTTTGGGGTCTTCTTCATAAATTCTTTGCCTAGGCCAATGTCTAGAAGAGTATTTCCAACGTTCCCCTCTAGAATTCTAATAGTTTCACACGTAATGTTCAAGTCTGTTACCCAGTGTGAGTTGATTTTTGTGAGAGGTGAAAGGTGTGGGTCCTGTTTCAGTCTTCTACATGTGGCTATCCAGTTTTTCCCAGCACCATTTATTGAATAAGGATTCCTTTCCCCAGTGTATGTTTTTGTCTGCTTTGTCAAAGATTAGTTGGCTATATGAGGATGGTTTTATATTTTTTAACAAATCATGTAGATAACCTTTCAGGACAACTAATATTTAGCAATGATAGCTAACATACATTCAGTACTTACTATCTTTCCTGCACTGTGCTTGACTCTTTGAATGCCTTGTCTATTTTTTTATCTAAAAATGTTGATATGTGTATGTATAACTTTATATAAATGTATAAGTACAGTACATGGTAGTTTTTTAAAATGGCATTTTCTCATTTCCTCTTACCTGTGGCACCTTTATTTCTCCTAAGCTTCTCCTTCTCCACTACCAACTCCTAAGCCAATTCCTAAGATGTGATCTTCCAGACTTTTCTCTATGTTCATCTTATCCATTTAGAGTTGTGTGGGTTATTTCTTTTTAAACTTTAAGACATTTGAGAGCTACAGTTCTAAAAATACAAGGTGTTATTTGTGTCATACTGAGATTCATCCTTTAAAAAAAAACTTGAAAAATCACTCTAAAAAAACTGTGTTTTATTATAAAAAACAGAAAAATAAAGATGAGATAGAATTCCTGATTTCAAGAAAATAGAAAGTTTATTATATGGCATAGTTTCTAATACATATAAAAGTAGGTTAAAATTTTGACTGAGGCACAAAGACGTGTAAATCCTTAAATGAGGAATGTGAAAACCAGTTACGCGTCAAGTGTATGGAAGAGTTGGGAATGGAGGATTTTCAGGGAGGCTTTTACTGGAGAGAACCATGTGTGAGTACCTCCCACGGGGTGAAAAGAGAATGTGTACACGTGTGTGTGTGTGTGTGTGTGTGTGTGTGTGTTTGCTTCTCCCTTCCCTTAAGGCATGAGAGAGGAACTTAGGGAGATCATTTAGAGAGCTTCCTATATGTTCCTGCAGTTCGGGGGACACAGAAGAATTGTGTCAGAAATACACCTGAAAAATTTAAAGGATGAAAGCTTAGAGGAAGTGGCCAATAGCTGTAATTTGGGAAGTTGCTGCCCTTGTAGAGTCTGTCATAGCTAAAGATGTGTCATGTTTCCCAAGGACCACATCTGGGCAGATAATGTGGGAGAAAGTCAGCCTGGGGTTATCTTAGTTCCTGCCCAAGAGGAAGCCTCAGGAGGAGGAGGCCAAAAGTGGACCCCAAGATACACTAGGCTTTGGAAGGAATTACGAATGACCAGCTGGAACAGGAATGAGCTTGACAGGCCTGGTGGTGGTGGTGGTGGTAGTGTTTGTAAAATAATCCAATTCATCATCTAGGAGAGACAGAGCCAGACTTAAGCATCTGCCAAATCTAAAGGGAGCCAATAGCAGCCAGCTTCGATATCCACCAAGCCAAAACTTGGCTACCTTCTTTCCTCTCTCTCCCTGCACTCTAGCCTTGGAGAGTGATAGACGGGGGACTGGTGGGGTGGGGAGACAGTAGAAATGCACTAAAAGGAAAGAAAAGTGACTCATACTCTGTCTCCTCAATTCTGGCTTCTCTGACTGCAGCGAATCTGAGCCAGATGTGTGGAAGAGAAGCATAAACTATAAGTGAAGTTCATAATTTTGATTATTACATGGGAATAAAATTTTAATTGCTAAATTGAGACTAAATGATAAAAATGAAATTGTAGCATGAATGATGATAGACTTTTAAAATGAAATCTATGAGTGATCGAAAGAGTTATCAGAACTGCTAGATTTTCAACCAGGGACCAGGGCAGATCTTGCCTCACAGAAGGGCGGTAGGAGACCTAAAAAGCTGCTTTATAATCATATCCCACAGGTTGTGCTTTCTGAAGTACTGCTTACATGTGGAAGAATGAGCATTAATCTCAAAAACAGAAACTATCAAAATCACCATTTTTCAATAATTTGGATAAAAGTAAAATGCCCACAGAACATAGAAGAATTTTAGTCATTCAAAGTGAGAAAATATTTTTCTTTTTAATAGAGTGGACAGTTTTAAGCTTAAAATGGATACCTCAGGTAATGCACCAATTTACAGATTTTAACCTACCACATACAATATCAGTGCATTGGAAGCAAAGGAGAAAGGGCCCTCTTAGGTTTATATTAACATGATTCACTATCACCTGAGAGCTATAGGTTTTACTAGAATTTTTTTTTCAGTAGGAAACTATAGAAGTGGCATAACTGTAGGAACTCTAAAGATCTGAAGAAGGGCTTGAATAAGGAAAAACCAACGATGACCTCAAGGATGGCATTTATTTTTGAGCCCCTTGCAGGTCTGTAACTCCTTTGCTCATTTAGGGACTGTTTCAAGCTCCTACTTGATCATTTCCATGTATTGATATCATCAGGTGTTGATCTATTTCATCTTAAACTTTGTCAAATGCAAACACACACATTCTTTATGAATAAGGGGAATTTGTTGTAATGCAGATTAAGGGACTAGCTTTGTAGTATATAGGACACAGAATTGGAACTGTGTCTTATTCACCTTTATGTTTTAAGAACCTAAGAACATAATGGGCACTCAATACATGTTAATTGAATAAATGGATGAGCAAACAATAAATCACTTTTATTTTTTTTTTTTTTTTTTTTTTTTTTTTTTTGAGACAGAGTCTCGCTTTGTTGCCCAGGCTAGAGTGAGTGCCGTGGCGTCAGCCTAGCTCACAGCAACCTCAAACTCCTGGGCTCAAGTGATCCTTCTGCCTCAGCCTCCCGGGTAGCTGGGACTACAGGCATGCGCCACCATGCCCGGCTAATTTTTTATATATATATCAGTTGGCCAATTAATTTCTTTCTATTTATAGTAGAGACGGGGTCTCGCTCTTGCTCAGGCTGGTTTTGAACTCCTGACCTTGAGCAATCCGCCCGCCTCGGCCTCCCAAGAGCTAGGATTACAGGCGTGAGCCACAGCGCCCGGCCAATAAATCACTTTTAGATATGCGATGAACTCCTATATTCTATACTGGGTGCTTTTGAAGTTGAAGAATCTATACTCAAAGTGGCCATACCAAAGAATCAGACTGAATCCAGATTCAGCCAATTGTTCCCTTCTAGAGAGATCCCTAAAACTAATCACCATTTGGGTATTAATGCATCTGGGCAAGACTGCAGAATGTCACCGGCTTTTGGCTTTCTCCATTCTAAATCTGAGAATCTGATGTAATAGAAAACATTAGTCTAGGCACAGTCAGAACACCTAGGTTCTAATTTCAACTTTACTTTTTATTAGTCTTATGAATGTGAGCACATTTCTTCAAAACTTTTAAGCTAACTTACTAAACAGTAAAATATAGATAATAACAGTTTATCTGGCTAGGAGTGTGGGGGATAAAATGAGATCATGGGAAATGCACTATGCAAACGTAAGATATTGCTGATTTTGCTACCTGGAAGCCTTTAGGCATCTTAGGGTTCACATATAATTCTCTACTGCCTGTTTTGAAGTAATAGCAGGTGTTCCCTTAGACCCTCCTTATCCTGGCTTAATACCTAGTACATTCTTTTCCACACCATAAAGACTCAATAAAGGTTTATAGAGTAACTGGTTTTGATATGAGAACTTCTACTTATCAACAATTCAGGTTTCGTATTTGGGGTTCTAGCATTTTGTTTATCTGTTTATTTTGATTGGATATCCTTATCTAAATGCATATTGGTAATAAATCAAAACATCTTGAAGACTCTGAAATCTTTAATTCCTTTTTTTCATAGATACTACTCGTTCCAAAAAGAGCTATGAAATGGATGGGTGTGAATATCACTTTGTGTCAAAGGAAACATTTGAAAGCCTCATATATAGTCACAGGTAAAGTAGAAGTCAGAAGCTAAGTTTTACCTCTGCTTGTTTTACATTTAAATTAGATTCCCTATTCCTATGTAATATCCAAAACTCCTGGGGATAATTCCTTTTGTTTCTGAAGAGTTAAGCAAGGAAATGTACACTGTTATATTAGTATACCAACTTACTTGGTTTGGAAAGGGAGATGTAAATTTTAGAGAATTTGAGGAAGTGGCTAAATCCTAGATCTCCTTATTTTTTTTCTTCTGCTGAATATCCTTGTTTTTTTTTTCTTTTGTCCTAGGAAAGTCCACATATTTTTATTCAATTCTATTAGAGTTTATTCTCAGGTTACTACTACTACTACTTTATCTGTAGAAAGAGTTCTTGTTTTCTTTGTCCCACTCTTGTAGGATGCTGGAGCATGGTGAGTACAAAGGCCACCTCTATGGCACTAGTGTGGATGCTGTCCAAGCAGTCCTTGATGAAGGAAAGATCTGTGTCATGGACTTAGAGCCTCAGGTGGGTCCACGGTGGAATATTTCTCATCTTCCCAATCATGAATCCATGTTATCCGTCATCCATTTTGTGTATGTGCTGTAGTTTATAGTTGAAACATTTTATTCTGTTAGCTTTTTCTCACTAAGTAAATGGGTTCCAGCTCTATCCAGAAAATACAAGAGATGCTATATCACCGTTGTTTCTTAAAGCTGAATAGTACTCTATGGTATACATATACCACATTTTATTAGTCCACTCATGAATTGATGGGCACTTGGGTTGTTTCCACAACTTTGCAATTGTGAAATGTGCTGCTATAAACATTGGAGTGCAGGTGTCTTTTTCATAAAGTGACTTTTGATCTTTTCAGTAGATGCCCAGTAGTGGAATTGCTGGATCAAATGGTAGATCTACTTGTATCACTTTAAGGTATCTCCACATGCTTTCCACAGAGGTTGAACTAGTTTGCAGTCCACCAGCAGTGTAGGAGTGTTCCTATCTCTCCGCATCCACGCCAACATTTATTGTTTGGGGACTTTTGATAAAGGCCATTTCACTGGAGTTAAGTGATATCTCATTGTGGTTTTGATTTGCATTTCCTTGATGATTAGAGACTGAGCATTTTTTCATTGTTCTTGGCCATTATTCTGTCTTCTTTTGAGAAGTTCTGTTATGTCCTTTGACCATTTTTTGATAGGGTTGTTGAGTTTTCTTGCTGATTTTGTGAGTTCTAAACAGATTCTAGTTATCAGCCTTTATCGGATGTGTAGCTTGCAAAAATTTTCTCCCATTCTGTAGGTTCTCTGTTTGCTTTTGTGACAGTTTTTGGCTGTGCAGAAACTTTTTAATTTGATCAGGTCCCATTTATTTATTTTTGTTGTTGCTGTGATTGCCTTTGGGTCTCTTCATAAATTCTTTGCCTAGGCCAATGTCTAGAAGAGTATTTCCAACGTTCCCCTCAGAATTCTAATAGTTTCACACCTAATGTTCAAGTCTGTTACCCAGTGTGAGTTGATTTTTGTGAGAGGTGAAAGGTGTGGGTCCTGTTTCAGTCTTCTACATGTGGCTATCCAGTTTTTCCCAGCACCATTTATGAATAAGGATTCCTTTCCCCAGTGTATGTTTTTGTCTGCTTTGTCAAAGATTAGTTGGCTATATGAGGATGGTTTATATTTTTTAACAAATCATGTAGATAACTTTCAGGACAACTAATATTTAGCAATGATAGCTAACATACATTCAGTACTTACTATTCCTGCACTGTGCTTGACTCTTTGAATGCCTTGTCTATTTTTATCTAAAAATGTTGATATGTGTATGTATAACTTTATATAAATGTATAAGTACAGTACATGGTAGTTTTTTAAAATGGCATTTTCTCATTTCTCTTACCTGTGGCACCTTTATTTCTCCTAAGCTTCTCCTTCTCCCTCAACTCCTAAGCCAATTCCTAAGATGTGATCTTCCAGACTTTTCTCTATGTTCATCTTATCCATTTAGAGTTGTGTGGGTTATTTCTTTTAAACTTTAAGACATTTGAGAGCTACAGTTCTAAAATACAAGGTGTTATTTGTGTCATACTGAGATTCATCCTTTAAAAAAAAAACTTGAAAATCACTCTAAAAAACTGTGTTAGGCGGGCGCGGTGGCTCACGCCTGTAATCCTAGCTCTTGGGAGCCGAGGCGGGCGATTGCTCAAGGTCAGGAGTTCAAAACCAGCCTGGCAAGAGCGAGACCCGTCTCTACTATAAATAGAAAGATTAATTGGCCAACTGATATATATATTAAAAATTAGCGGGCATGGTGGCCATGCCTGTAGTCCCAGCTACTCGGGAGGCTGAGGCAGAAGGATCACTGGAGCCCAGGAGTTTGAGGTTGCTGTGAGCTAGCTGACGCCAGGCACTCACTCTAGCCTGGCAACAAAGCGAGACTGTCTCAAAAAAAAAAAAACAAAACAACTGTGTTTTATTATAAAAACAGAAAATAAAGATAGATAGAATTCCTGATTTCAAGAAATAGAAAGTTTATATGGCATAGTTTCTAATACATAAAAAGTAGGTTAAAATTTTGACTGAGGCACAAAGACGTGTAAATCCTTAAATGAGGAATGTGAAAACCAGTTACGCGTCAAGTGTATGGAAGAGTTGGGAATGGAGGATTTTCAGGGAGGCTTTTACTGGAGAGAACCATGTGTGAGTACCCCCACGGGGTGAAAGAGAATGTGTACACGTGTGTGTGTGTGTGTGTGTGTGTGTGTGTGTGTGTTGTGTGTGTGTGTTTGCTTCTCCCTTCCCTTAAGGCATGAGAGAGGACTTAGGGAGATCATTTAGAGAGCTTCTATAGTTCCTGCAGTTCGGGGACCAGAAGAATTGTGTCAGAAATACACCTGAAAAATTTAAGGCTTAAGGGGATAGGATAGCTGTAATTGGGAAGTTGCTGCCTTGTAGATCTGTCATAGCTAAAGAGTGTCATGTTTCCCAGGACTCGGGGATAATGGCCTGGGGTTTTTAGTCCTGCCAAGAGGAAGCCTCAGGAGGAGGAGCCAAAGGCCCCAGACTCTGGACAACGAGAACAGTGGTGAGGCTGAGGCTGGTGGAGTTTTGTAAAAATAATCATCTCTAGGGAGAGACGAAGCCAGTTAAGCATCTGCCTCTAAAGGGAGCCAATAGCAGCCAGCTTCGATATCCACCAAGCAAACTTGGCTACTTCTTTCCTCTCTCTCCTGCACTCTAGCCTTGGAGAGTGATAGAGGGGACTGGTGGGTGGGGAGACAGTAGAAATGCACTAAAAGGAAAGAAAAGTGACTCATACTCTGTTCTCCTCAATTCTGGCTTCTCTGACTGCAGCGAATCTGAGCCAGATGTGTGGAAAGAAGCATAAACTATAAGTGAAGTTCATAATTTTGATTATTACATGGGAATAAAATTTTATTGCTAAATTGAGACTAAATGATAAAAATGAAATTGTAGCATGATGATGAAGACTTTTAAAATGAAATCTATGAGTGATCGAAAGAGTTATCAGAACTGCTAGATTTTCAACCAGGGACCAGGGCAGATCTTGCCTCACAGAAGGGCGGTAGGAGACCTAAAAAGCTGCTTTATAATCATATCCACAGGTTGTGCTTTCTGAAGTACTGCTTACATGTGGAAGAATGAGCATTAATCTCAAAACAGAAACTATCAAAATCACCATTTTCCAATAATTTGGATAAAAGTAAAATGCCACAGAAATAGAAGAGCAGGGAAGACCCCTAAAGAGCAGAACAACATGCCTTTCAGCCAGGAACAGCCAGGAACATCATTTGCAGGACCCAGTGAAAAATGAAAAGGATATGTTTATCCATTTATCCAATATGTTTAAGTTAATAAAGAGAATTGATTTAGTGGTGGGTAGCCAGCTAGGTTTTTAAAAGGTAACTCTGTCTTTTTTGTCTTTTTTATTTATTTTTTTTTTAATTTTTTAAATTTCAGCATATTATGGGGGTACAAATGTTAAGGTTATGTATATTGCCCATACCCCCCACCTCGAGTTGGAGCGTCAAGCATGACCATCCCCCAAACGTTGCACATCTAACTCATTATGTTTGTATATACCCATCCCTTCATCCCCCCCAATATCCCCACCTGCCCAACACCTCATAAATGTTTTTCCTATATGTCCACTTACATGTTGATCCATTAATAGCAATTTGCTGGTGAGTACATGTGGTGCTTGTTTTTCCATTCTTGAGATACTTCACTTTTACAGATTTTAACCTACCACATACAATATCAGTGCATTGGAAGCAAAGGAGAAGAGCCCTCTTAGGTTTTATATTAACATGATTCACTATCACCTGAGAGCTATAGTTTTACTAGAATTTTTTTTTCAGTAGGAAACTATAGAAGTGGCATAACTGTAGGAACTCTAAAGATCTGAAGAAGGGCTTGAATAAGGAAAAACCAACGATGACCTCAAGATTGGCATTTATTTTTGAGCCCTTGCAGGTCTGTAACTCCTTTGCTCATTTAGGGACTGTTTCAAGCTCCTACTTGATCATTTCCATGTATTGATATCATCAGGTGTTGATCTATTTCATCTTAAACTTTGTCAAATGCAAACACACACATTCTTTATGAATAAGGGGAATTTGTTGTAATGCAGATTAAGGGACTAGCTTTGTAGTATATAGGCACAGAATTGGAACTGTGTCTTATTCACCTTTATGTTTAAAACCTAAGAACATAATGGGCACTAATACATGTTAATTGAATAAATGGATGAGCAAACAATAAATCACTTTTAGATATGCGATGAACTCCTATATTCTATACTGGGTGCTTTGAAGTTGAAGCTATACTCAAAGTGGCCATACCAAAGAATCAGACTGAATCCAATTCAGCCAATTGTCCTTCTAGAGAGATCCCTAAAACTAATCACCATTTGGGTATTAATGCATCTGGGCAAGACTGCAGAATGTCACCGGCTTTTGGCTTTCTCCATTCTAAATCTGAGAATCTGATGTATAAAAAACATTAGTCTAGGCACAGTCAAACACCTAGGTTCTAATTTCAACTTTACTTTTTATTAGTCTTATGAATGTGAGCACATTTCTTCAAACTTTTAAGCTAACTTACTAAACAGTAAAATATAGATAATAAACATTATCTGGCTAGGAGTGTGGGGATAAAATGAGATCATGGGAAATGCACTATGCAAACGTAAGATTTGCTGATTTTGCTACCTGGAAGCCTTTAGGCATCTTAGGTTCACATATAATTCTCTACTGCCTGTTTTGAAGTAATAGCAGGTGTTCCCTTAGACCCTCCTTATCCTGGCTTAATACCTAGTACATTCTTTTCCACACCATAAAGACTCAATAAAGGTTTATAGAGTAACTGGTTTTGATATGAGAACTTCTACTTATCAACAATTCAGGTTTCCTATTTGGGGTTCTAGCATTTTGTTTATCTATTTATTTTGATTGGATATCCTTATCTAAATGCATATTGGTAATAAATCAAAACATCTTGAAGACTCTGAAATCTTTAATTCCTTTTTTTCATAGATACTACTCGTTCCAAAAAGAGCTATGAAATGGATGGGTGTGAATATCACTTTGTGTCAAAGAAACATTTGAAAGCCTCATATATAGTCACAGGTAAAGTAGAAGTCAGAAGCTAAGTTTTACCTCTGCTTGTTTTACATTTAAATTAGATTCCCTATTCCTATGTAATATCCAAAACTCCTGGGATAATTCCTTTTGTTTCTGAAGAGTTAAGCAAGGAAATGTACACTGTTATATTAGTATACCAACTTACTTGGTTTGGAAGGGAGATGTAAATTTTAGAGAATTTGAGGAAGTGGCTAAATCCTAGATCTCCTTATTTTTTTCTTCTGCTGAATATCCTTGTTTTTTTTTCTTTGTCCTAGGAAAGTCCACATATTTTTATTCAATTTATTAGAGTTTATTCTCAGGTTACTACTACTACTACTTTATCTGTAGAAAGAGTTCTTGTTTTCTTTGTCCCACTCTTGTAGGATGCTGGAGCATGGTGAGTACAAAGGCCACCTCTATGGCACTAGTGTGGATGCTGTCCAAGCAGTCCTTGATGAAGGAAAGATCTGTGTCATGGACTTAGAGCCTCAGGTGGGTCCACGGTGAATATTCTCATCTTCCCAATCATGAATCCATGTTATCCGTCATCCATTTTGTGTATGTGCTGTAGTTTATAGTTGAAACATTTTATTCTGTTAGCTTTTTTTTTTTTTTTTTTTTTTTTGAGACAGAGTCTCGCTTTGTTGTCCAGGCTAGAGTGAGTGCCGTGGCGTCAGCCTAGCTCACAGCAACCTCAAACTCCTGGGCTCCAGTGATCCTTCTGCCTCAGCCTCCCGAGTAGCTGGGACTACAGGCATGCGCCACCATGCCCGGCTAATTTTATATATATATATCAGTTGGCCAATTAATTTCTTTCTATTTTATAGTAGAGACGGGTCTCGCTCTTGCGCAGGCTGGG